CTTTATTTCCACATTATTCCACCACTTTTCACTGTCTATTGTCTATTGGGATTTTTTTCTCTCTCTTGGTTTCTGTTTATTTGGTATTATCTCCTGGTAATTTTTTTTTTCATTTTTATTTTTATTTTTGGCTGTGTTGGGTCTTCATTGCTTTGCGTGGGCTTTCTCCACTTGCGGCGAGCAGGAGGTACTCTTCGATGCAGTGCGCGTGCTTCTCAATCCGGTGGCTTCTCTTGTTGAGGAGCATGGGCTCTAGGTGCGCGGGCTTCAGTAGTTGCAGCACGTGGGCTCAGTAGTTGTGGCTCATGGACTGTAGAGCGCAGGCTCAGTAGTTGTGACGCACGGGCTTAGCTGCTCCGTGGCATGTGGGATCTTCCCGGACCAGGGCTCAAACCCGTGTCCCCTGCATTGGCAGGCGGATTCTTAACCACTGCGCCACCAGGGAAGTCCCAATTTTTTTTTTTTTTATTGAAAGCCAGGTATTGTGTATGAAAAATTAAATAACTGTATGTTCCAGATGGTGCTGTCTTCTTCCATAAAGTCTTTACTTTGGGCAAGCAGTTAGGTAAGGGCAGATCACCCTAATCTAATACTGGGACTCGAACTGACTCAAAGCTGGGCTTCAGTCTTTTTGGAGGCTGGTCTATTTCCACTTTATCCATCTTCCAAGGGTCTAGCTCTTTGAAATCCCAGATAAAAGACTGGGACATTCACCAGGGCACCTCCTCCTTGATGGGCACTGGGCTCCCGTGTTTCCCCCCAGCTCCATGGGCAGTCTGAAGCTCTGCCCAGCATATTAGCCACTTACCTGCTGATTTCTGTTGCCCATGATTTGGCAAGTGTTTCAAGGATAAAAACAGCATCAAATGTTGGACTCACTCTCTCTGCTGTCCTTTTCTCTGGCTCTTTACTCCTCAAGTTCTTGCTGCCTTTGTGACTCTCAACAGATGGGCACACATATGCGCGCACGCACACACGCACACACACAAAATGGGGAAATGCATGACTTAATGTCTGCAGAGGAAGAAAATCAGGCCCAGAAGATTCCATGATGTTTTCAGGGAAAGATGTAGGGATCCATCTCTTCGAAAACAAGCTCTTCTGAGCCCCTTTAAAACCTTTTAGATTTAGAGTCAGCAGATAGGGTCTCTCGACCCAGCCCCACCTCTCTAAAGAAAAATTTTAACTTTCATTGCTATAAAATTATACTAATAATGACATCTGTCTCTCTGGATTATTTTTTCTTTTTTTTTTTCTTTTTTAAATGCCTTGTTGTTTACCCATTCCATATATAATAGCTTACATCTGCTAACCCCAGCCTCCCACTCCATCCCTCCCCAACCCCGCCCCCTTGGCAACCACAAGTCTGTTCTCTAATGTCCATGAGTCTGTTTCTGTTTCGTAGATAGGTTCATTTGTGTCATATTCTAGATTCCACATATAAGTGATATCATATGGTATTTGTCTTTCTCTTTCTGACTTACTTCAGTTAGTATGATAATCTCTAGTTGTATCCATGTTGCTGCAAATGACATTATTTCGTTCTTCTTTCTGTAGTTCTTTTAAGTGGTAGTTTAGGTTGTTTATTTGAGATTTTTCTTGTTTTTTGAGGAGGGCCTGTACTGCTATGAACTTCCCTCTAAGAACTGCTTTTGCTGTATCCCATAGATTTTTTAAGATTGTGTCTCTGGATTGATAATGAAACAACTTCTTTCATCAAAATTAACAGATTTCAATATACACTTTGTGCAGGCACTGGGCTAGATCTTCTGCTTATATTATTCAATTTTTAAAATTTATAAATTATAGAGTACAAGCATATCCATGATGATAAAAATCTTTTTAAAAAAATTTTTTTTAAGAAAACTGCTATTTTCAACAGGGACCAAAGGCTTTCTTTGAGGAGCAATTTTTTATTTCTCAGGCATGAAGCCTGGAGGACCAGGAGATGTGCTGTGCGGGACATTTCTCAAAGACCAGGGAGAGTCGCTCTAGCCCCTGTGTTCCTCTACTTGTGAAGGTGCTGGCAAAGCCCAATGAGGAGCTGTGGCAGCAGCAACCAGCATGGTAATCTAGAGATGGATCCCAGGCTCCCATCGGGGATGCTCAGGGCTAAGGGATATTGCTGATCACCAGAGATGTTATCTTCCCATTTCACCTTGATGACCTCTTTTCAGTAGTGTCTAAATCAGCGGGGTGGGATGAATTGGGAGATTGGGAATGACACTATTGATACTATGTATAAAATAGATAACTAATGAGAACCTACTGTGTAGCTCAGGGAACTCTACTCAGTGCTCTGTGGTGACCTAAATGGGAAGGAAATCCAAAAAAGAGGGGATATATGTATACGTATAGCTGATTCACTTTGCTGTACAGTAGAAACTAACACAATTGTAAAGCAACTGTACTCCAATAAAAATTATAAACAAAAATAGTGTCTAGATCAGACATTGGTTAACAAACAACGGCCCATGGGCCAAATCCAGCCTTCTGCCGCTTTCTGTATGACCTGTGCGCTAAGAACGATTTTTACATCAATTTTTTTTTTTTTCACGTGGACATCTAGTTATTACAGCATCATTCGTTGAAAAGACTGTCTTTTCTCCATTGTGCTGCCTTATGCACTCTTGTCAAAGAGAAGTTGACTCTATTTGTGTGGGTCTGTGTCTGGACCCTCGCTTTTGTTCCATGGGTCTGTTTGTCTGTTCTGCCAGTATCATCCTGTAGCTTTATAGTAACTTTTGAATTTGGGCAGTGTCAGTCCTCCGACTTTGTTCTTCTCCTTTGATATTCTGTTAGCTCTTCTGGGTCTTTTGCCTCTCCGTATAAACTTTAAAATCAGTTTGTTGATATCCAAAGAGGTTTTTACATTTTTAAATGGTTGAGAAAAATAAAAAGAAAGGTATTTAATGGCACATGAAAATTATATGAAATTCAAATGTCTCTCTAATTTGTCCACATGTTATCTATGGTGGCTTTCACAGTACAACAGCAGGGCTGAGTATTTGTGACCGAGACTGTATAGTCTGCAAAATCTAAAATATTGACTATATTGAAGAAGTTTGCTGAGCCCTGGTCCAAATCTTAGGCTGTGACTTACACTTAGTTTGGTTCTGAGCTCGGCCCATGGGGCCGGGCTGCCCATTTTCAAATCCTTCCATCGCCAGGTGTTCACTGTGTCACCTTTAAAATGTCACTTACCCTTTCTGGGCCTGTTTCTTAACTGTAAAGTGGGGATGATAGCATTTATCTCATAGAGTTGTTGTGAGGAATAATGAATTATTTCACGTAAGTGCTTAGAACAGTGCCTGGCACCCAGAAGCTGCGTATGTGTTGAGTCCCATGTACATTTTTATCCCGGCTTAAAAACAGTGTTACCAAAATGGTCTCAAATCTCTGCCCTGCGAATTCACCCACCTCACTACCCCCAGGGATGATCATCTTAAAACACACCCTGTCATCCCTTCAAAGACTGGTCATGGCTTCCTGTTGCCTGTGGAGCAGCCTGGCATTCACAGCTCCACAGCCCAGCTGCCATCTGTCTGTGCAGACTCATCTGCCCTGCCCTGCACTCCCCTCCAGCTATGAACCCTCTGCTCCAGCCCTTCCAAGCTCTCCCTGTTTGTCCACACCTCAACACCTTCCCATCATGCAGTTCTTTCTGCACAGAAGCATTTCTTCCGGGCATTTCAAAAGGGTCACTGAGATCTGGGGGCAGGATCCAACCAACATTCCTGTTACGAGCTCCGAAGTGGAAATCAGTGCCTGATCTCACCGTGGGCGTGAAATGGAAATATACTCTTGTTCCTCATGAAACTCCAGATAAATTCTTTTCAGGGTCAGAAAGTAAAGCTGCAAAAGAAGGGTGGGGTAAAGAAATCAAGCACTTTCCCCCAAGCCAGGCCTCCCTTCAGGCTTGTCTGATGCTGTCTGGGGGTTCTTGCGTGATATGCCCTTACAAGGAGTGTGCGCTCTGGGCAGAGAACTGGGTGGGGAGAAGCCAGAGGGAGCAAGGGAGCCAGACCTCTGATTACATATCAGTATCATAAATGTTTCTTGAAGGTGTTGAAGTAAGCATCAAGATGATGTAACAGTGTGAACAAAACGCTCATGATACATTAAAGGGAGCTTGTAGGATACAACGTTGCATCCACATTGATTACAACTGAATACAAAGTGGGACTGATCAGGAGACTGATGGTGGACAGGAGGGTGTGAGCATATGAAACCACTCTTGGGCTAGAGGGGTAGTGGCACCGTGGGTGGTTGTCTTGGTTCCTTTATTGAAAAATGAGTGCTGTTATTGTACACAACACTGTCATTTCCGTAGCTAAAAGTTTGATGGTAGGTTTGATAGGAGAACTCATGAGCTTACAAAATGAGTCTCTCATTGTACATATATTATATTTTTAAAAAGTAAAAAAAAAGTTTTAAAAGACTGGCGCAAAGTAAGCTGGGACAAGGACAGTGTCTTCGTAGCTCTCCACCTGCCTTTTCTTCCTCTTTGCCTCACCGTCAGTAAGCCCACTGGGGACAGCCGCTGTCCAGCTACTGTGTATAGTTATGGCTAAGCTCACATCACCTTCAGACTGTTCCCAGATGTCCTCTGCCTTCCCTCATTTGTCCTGGATCCCCAAACAGCAGCAGCTATTTGTCCAACATTACTCTCCTGGAGAGTTCTGCCCTTCGCTAAGGAACCAATAAAGGCATCTGTGGTAATGTGCCCATGAATGATATAGGGTTATTGCTGACCCCTCCCAGGTAGCACTTTTGCTTTTCATCCTGGGGATTCTGATTAATAGGCTGCATTAATGGAAGCACAGTGTCCCAAACAATGGAGGTGATAGTGGAGGAATGGAACCTGGACTTTCCTAACACAAGGGACGTGACTGAGCAGGGCACATAGGTTGGGCAGGGAGGAAGGGCATGAAAGCTGCAAATCTGGGCGGGAGTTAATTTCCAGCTAAATAACCTGAACTGTTTTTGCTTTCTTTTAGGAACTACCCAGGCCCGTACCTCCCCTGGAGAGAACACACTGGAAGAGCAGCTATGGCCAGAGGTCAGGGCTTTGTCCTCACGGGAGGGGGAGTGAGTTCCCTTCTAGAGGGTGAATCTAAGTCTTGATGCAAGTTGGCAGGTTCCCTCCCTGAGGCCTTGAGGGAATGGGCTAGATGAGCGGCTTCTCCAGGGACAGCCGGGCTGCCTGGCAGAGCATAACTGTATCCCCTGGAATTTGGGGCTCATCATCCCTGCAGAGTGAGCAGGTGGTTCCCAGAAGTGTCTGGAAAGATTATAGATGGGCTGGTTATCTCTGTGAACCTTGAAGCAGATGCTGTGAGTTATCTGAAGGCATCTGGGTGAGATCTTCCCAGAACATCTACAAGATAAGAGTTGAGAGTAAATGCTTTATCTCTTAACCGAAATTGGTAATTCATGAGAAATTAACTTGTGTCTCCTTGTGACAGAGAGATGTGGTCAAGCAACTCATTTACTGCACATTTTTCCCCCATTGGAGTATTTCCCCTTCCACTCTCAATTCTGGGGAGAAAACACATAATCTCCCTTCCCAAAGCCCTCCATGTGATTCACAGAAGCAGAGGCTGCTCTGAAATTTCACAGGCATCTGAGGAGGCCAGGTGGTCTTGAGGACCCCAGCACTGGTCACCCAGTCCCTCCTGTGCTCTCAGCAGCCCCTCTGGGCTTAGGACACATTCCGTTCCAGTGGGAATGTGAGAGTCTCCCAGTTTCCACTTTATCCAGTTACCAGCAGCAAATAGCATAATTCCTCATATACCTACTTTTGTGTAAATAATCAAATTTAAAGAAAGAAACAGATAATAAAAAAACATCATAGGATAGAACAGATTTAAACATTTTTCAGTCTAGATATACTGGGTCTCTTCTTAATGATTTCTTTTTTATTGTAAAATATACATAAAATGTACCATTTTTGAGTATACAGTTCAGTGGCATTAAGTATATTCACACTGTTGGGCACCTGTCACCACTATCCATCCCCAGAACTTTCTCGCTATTCCAAGAATTGTTCTTATTCTTTATCCTCCCTCCCTCTCCACCCCACTGTTCTGGGGTATCCTTAACTGCCATCTGCTAAAATCACTGTCAATAGGCACGTGTCCCGTTTTACTAGGTGAGCTGGGTAAGGGGTTAGAAGACCATGACTGTGGAAAATTGTTGCTTCTGGATTTTGAGCCTAGTACAACAAGTACCTGGTCATTTCTACACCAAGTTTTCAGGACCTGTAATATTGCCATACAAGGCAGTTGATGTTTCCGATGTTCGGTTTCAGTGGCAGAGCCTGAAGGGTTTTCCATTCTCATGCAACTCAAAGAAGTCAGGATCTGATGCGCCTTCTAACTCAGGTATGTGCCGCTGAGCCAGGAAGGCCAGCGTCTTCTCTCTGGTGTGGCCAGCAGAGGCTCCAGCACTACTCCTCTTGCACTTTTTGGCTGTTCAAGCCCTCTCTCTTTCCCATCCTTAGTCCTTCCTCTTTTGGCCCCCTCAGTCATTCCTGTGGAGGGACACAGCCCAACACACCACGCAGAGATAAAACCGGCATGACCCCACAGTGGTTTGCCTGGGTGAGGGCACCCTCTGGGAGCTCACCTCCAGGTGGGTAGAACCGAGTCACAGGAGCTGTGGCTTGGAGCTTGGTCACTCACGTGCCTTCCCCAATCCTGTAATGTAGCCACAGTGGCAGCTCTAGACATATTAGTCCTGTAATGGGCTACATTTATCTAATACCTGGATGCTCTGAACGTTGCTCTTGAGCTGGTCCTCTTCTCCAGCCTTATCCTATCACGTGGCTGCATTATAAACTGTGTTTAATGGATTTATGTTTGCATTGTACTGACTTACCAGGGTTTCCAGTTAAGCATGCTATTCTCACTATTCTGTCATGTAAGGAATGTGGGTAGGAAAAGAAATTGATGTACTTCTTAGGAAGTGGCTTCTTTGGGAGGCTTACCTTGAATGCCCCCATAACATGACCGAGGAATATATCAGTGGTTTCTAAAGAAACTTAATTCTAAGGATGCTAGGGGCCCAGGTAGGTCACGGAGGCTTCTTGGTACCATTTGCACACAGCTTGCATCCGATGCAAAGCCTGTGTGTTCACAGGCTTTGCGTCCTTCAAGCGAACATGAACCCTTTTGAACCCAGATGGTTTTCATTTTAATTTGTTGCTCTCTCACTCATTAATGGTAGCCCAGAAGTGCAGAGCCAAGGGATAGAGGGAAGTAAGAGGCAGAAAGAGGGCCAGGTGAGAGGGGAATGAGGGCTGTGAGTGACCTTCCATGGGACACCTATTTGGGGATACTGAGTCCAGTTAGCAGTGTGGCCTCCAGAGAGGAGTGAGCCTCTCTGGAGCAGGTTTCCAGGGCTCCCAGCAACTGCCTGATCTTCAGCTTCCCACTCCCATGGCCAACAGGCGGAGCCTCAGCAGCTGTCCTTGGGGTGGGGGACATGGGTCTGCTTCTCCCATTTGGCGCCCTTGGCCCGCATCATGGGGAATATAGATCTGACCTTCTTATGCGTTCTTGTCTTTGCAGTCCACTCTCTGAGCCCTTCTGATATTCAACTTGTGGCAGCCATTGGCAATGTGGAAACTGTGAGTTTGTCAAGGAGATTGAGGTGGGAGGTATAGGGTTTGGGACTGGTGAACTTCTAAATGAGCTCCTAGTAACCAGGCAGAACGCTTCGTTTGGGGAGAGAAGGGCATTCTCTGAGTTGGAAAACATCCTAAACTCTAGGGTTCTGAGTTGATGTTGTTGTTGTCTTAAATGAAATGAATGCCTCCCTTTACATTAGGATGAAGAAACTTTTGGAGTTTCATTAAAAAATCAAACCTAATGATAAATTAAGTCAAAGGTCACATAGAATTTTAAAAGTAATCTCTTAAACTTTCTCTTTATGAGGTGAAGAACAAAAATGTCCTTACCTGCATGGTAAATGTTTAAAAATACACTCTTCTTTGTTAATAGGTTGTAAGTGGTGTTGTTCTATATGGTCAGGTAACAGAGAAAGAAAGCAATAAGAAGGGAGGGATGGAAAGAGAGAGGAGAGAGGAGGTGAGCAGAAAGAGAAGAGGGTTGGAGAGCAGAGCGGAATTTCCAGTGTGATTCCCCAGTCAGTCCTGGCTTCCCACAGTCCCACCTGCTCTGGTCTCAGCACTGCTGCCCCCCAAGTCCTAGCAGCTCCCAGCCGAACAGACAACTAATCAGGTGTTCTCAGCTCTGCCCTGGGGCCCAGCTGTACCTCCTGCACCAGAACCAGGATGCCCCTGCCTCTCCCCTCCTGTGCCTTCCTCCTGCCACTACCTACCACATGTCCTTCCCCATGTCCTTCCGTGTCCCTGCTGCACTCTGTACCCCCTGCAGCTTCAGCCCCTGCCCCTGGGCCCAGCCGGCCTCCTCGCTGCAAGCCCCGTCCTGCTACCCCACGCACAGCGCCAGCCGTGTGTAAAGGATGGGACTTCACATTAGAAAACTGACCAGGGCCCAGTGAAATCTGCAGCCAGGGCTCCCGCCCTTGTTCTGTTCTACCTGTGATGGTGGTGTTAAAACTGCACATGTGACTGTGCGTATGCGTGTGTGTGTGTATGAGGGTGAAGGTGGAGGTTTCCCAGTAGGAGGGATGTGAAGGGGGGGATTGGAATAATGAGAAAAGAGGTTGCATGTCACGCAGAGCACACTGACTCCGCCGAGCCTGTGTGTCCCTGCGTGTGTCCCTGCGTGCTGATCGCTACGTCACAGAGCCAGGAATGTGTGACACCAGCTGGAGGACTCAAATTCTCCTTCCTTGGGCAGGAAAATTCACTTCAGGGAAATCTCCACCCCAAGTCAGGTTTCTAAAGTTAAACCAATCAACAGTTTCCACTGTCTGGTCCCAGCTCGGAGAGAGTTCTTTCGCTCATGAATTATTCATCCCCACATCTCCTGCTGTCACTCAGCTCACCCTTTCTCCTCCTGGGAGCCCGAGGCCCAGGGCGCTGGGAGACGGTTTCAGTCCATGACGGTCTCCTGGCCCCAGAATCATTATCATCACGCTGACGGGCACCTCAACCTTCAGGGTGAGCCCTGAACGCACAGTTCTTAGGAGGCTACCTTCCTCTGTCTGCCCTGAGAGTCAGCTGTCATGAGCTTAGCCTGGTTTATAAAAGACATCAGACCAGGGAAAAATAATGGAAGACAGTGAAATGAAAAAGACGGAAGTCTGTAAGGCCCATGCTTTTGCTTCGAGTTCCCGAGGCTTTCTGTCGCCAAGGCCGATCGCTTACTTGTATCCATGACTAGCACTTGTTTGTCTCATTGCTGTGGACTTCCTTTTCCTCACAGAACGTTAAAGATCAGATTCATCAAAATTATTTTCAAACTAACACTTGTGATACATGTTCAGTATAAGAAGAAAATCAAAGCACATGTAGATAGTATAAAATATGGAAGATCTCATTCACATCTCCTATTCTCTTGCCTCAACACACACACACACATACTCTCCAACATATAGGGTGAGAGAGAGAGAGAGAGAGAGAGAGAGAGAGTGTGTGTGTGTGTGTGTGTGTAACCTAAATAGGGTTATACTGCAATATACTAGCTGTGACTTTTTTTCCCCCTTAACTAAGAGTCACAGACATTTTCCACGTCAGAGAGGTTATAATCCACTATATCAAATTCCATGAAGCCAGGGCTTGTGTCTCACTTACTTGTGTGTCTCCAGTACAGGCAGCCAATGAAGAGTGTGGGGAGAAAATGGCGGCAGCGGGCAAAATGGTGGCATGGGAGTTTGCGGGGTTTGTCCCAGCCTTCCCTCTGTGACTCCCCCTGAGCTCTCCCCCACTCTCTCCACCTTGTTCCTGCTGTTCTCTCCTTTCCTTCCCCTCACCACCCCCATCCAGCTTTCCTGAGGGAAACCTCTGCTGTCAATCAGGTCCCGTTCGGTTGGGCATAGGCTACCCCCCTTGCCTCGGCCCTGGAGGCTAGCCTCCCTCAGGACTTCTCCTGTCTGGCATCCTTATGCTCCCTGACTTGCATCTGTGTGTGATTTTCTGTTTAATGTGTTACCTTTCCCTGGAAATTTTCCTTTCAAGCTCCCTCTTATTGAGAAGTAGAGAGGACTCCATCCCAGGTAGAGGAAGGTCATGGTCAGCCTGGCCTCCCAAGATGACCCCAGAAGTGTGGCCCAGTTCTACAGACTGAATGGCTGTCGTTGGAGCTGGGTTGTTAAGGACAGGCAGGTCCTTTGAAGGGAAGCAACAGCAGGCTGGGTGTAGGTAGTGTGGGTACAGCATCACCTGTCAGCACCACAGACACTGTCTTCTAGGAGTTCTGAGAGAGAAAATTGGTGTCAGAACCTGTGAAAATAATACTACTGACAACAGCTAATATGTCCTGGGCACTTTCTATGTACTGGGCACAATTCCAAGCAATTCCAAGCATCCCTACGTACTGGGCACAATGCCAAGCATCAAAAATTAGTATCGAGCAGGTATATATTGAGTACTTACGATGTGTCAGGCACTGTTCTAGGTCCAAGGAATATAATCAAGGACAAAACACACAAATTCCTGCCCTCATGGCGCTTACGTTCTAGGCAAGGGAGACAAACAATACACAAATACATTTTAGATTGTGGAAGATCGCAATAAAACAATCTATTTTGTTTCTATGTGGGATGTTAATATTCTACAGTGATGCATTTAAGTCTAGGCTCTCTCACCCAGTTTTCTATTCTGAAGAAAATGTTTATACCTTTTATTGCTCTGAGTTTGAACCAACAAGCTTTGGAGAAAACCTAACCTTCTCTCTTCCCTCCCTGAAAAACGAACATGGGTGGGTTTGGCCTTTTTCTGGATCCACGGGTTCCCTTTTGTTGGTGGGAGGGGGTGTCCTCTCCAGGACAGGATCTGCAGCCATCCCTGGCTGGGCTGCTCACACCTTGCATCTTTTCCAGCCTCCAGACTCAGGGACGGATGACCTGGAGAAGCAAGAATGGTAATTGTCCTGGAACCACAGAGCAACAGAGTTGAGAGGAGCCTCAGAGCTGATCCGCTCTCATCTCCCTGCTTCATTGGCAGGGAAACCCGAGGGCCAGGGAGGAGACACCTGCTCCAGTCTCGCTTAGGATCAGGCGGCAGAGTGGGGACCAGATGCAGCCTCCTGCCTCTGTGGCCAACACTCCCCATGCCCGGGAATCCCCCGAATAAGGGGAATAAGGGAGGAAAAGTGGGAAGGGCCGAATGTGGGATTCTTGCTTCCTTCCTCCAGTCTCCTTGCTCTGCCCTGGAGGAAGCTAGCAGGGTTGGACCAGGGTCAGGCTCGTTCAGCACGGGGTCTGCTTCCTCTTCCAACTTTGGACCAGACTAACGGGGGTGGGAAGGAGGGTCCAGACCTGCTCACCCCCTTTTGGTGACTCCATTGCCATCTGAGGTGCGTCTCTGTCTCCAGGAAGGATAAACCAGAACCTGAGCAATGCTAAGCCGGCGCTGGTTATGAAAGAGACCACAGCAGTTGGGGGCAAGGTTGGCAGGCGACAAATGCGGTCTGAGGCTTACGTGCTTGCTTCTGCTTGCAGGACTGAAAGCGAGGGACCACAGGCGTGCATGGGAGTGGTGACCGGTGAGTTCTGTGTTTTCATGGCCAGAATCCAGATTGTCCCTGTCCCTCCCGACACAGCAGCATTTCGGTTAGTGAAGAGGATGTACCCTATTGGCCACCTCGGGGCAGAGCCTGAGGAAAGGGGGAGGCATTCTGAGAGGACAGATAGGGAGCTAGGGTATGAAAAGACACATTCCCTGAAAGGAGGGCATGAGAAACGTGTCTGAGAGTCCCTGAGCAAAGAGACTCCAGGAGACATTGGGTTAAGCTTCGGAGACATGGGAAAGGGGTCAGGGGGTGGCTGGACCAGAGTCCTGAGGCTCCTTCTCCCCCGGGACCCCAGGACTGGACTTACAGCACTTCATTTGGGAACCTGTCCACCATTCACTGCCTCCACCCCCTATCCCCCCATCACACCAAGGAGAAGACCCATCTCTAATTTTCAGTTTATTTCATTTTGTAGTAATTCCCTTCCTTACAAAATAAATATCTCAGTTGGATTCAGGGAAATGAAATGAGAAGAATGAAAACCAACTGTAATCCTGCTATCTAGACATAATCATTGTTAACATTTTGACCTTTTTATATATGAATGTGCCTAGGAATATGCTATCTCTAACCTGGTTTTTTTCACTTAACATCAGAGGTCCCTTGCAAGTAGATTAAGTCATCCTGGAACCCCTGAGTCCCTTAACGTCGGCTGAATTAGCCTGGTGGATAGAGTCACCTATGCTTGGTGCTCACAGGTCGAGAGCAGGGACCCCACTTTTCACTCCATAATTAGAGTGAGGAGACTCGGGCAACAATGCAGATGCTCTACTGAGCTGACACCGAGCAGAGCGTGAGGACGCGTGAGGTAGCCGGTATCCTGTCAGTTCAGCCAGGGAATTTCACCAAGGGCCTGGAATTACGAGGCTCCCTGCAAGGCTTGGGATAAATAAGGGACCCGTCCTGCCTTCAGCCCTCACCATCCAGCAGGAGAGGCTGAGGCCTGGTATGCAGCCCTCCAGGATCTGATTGACAGGTGAGAGGGTACTGATGGCCCAGGTGGTGGGAGGGTCCCCATCTGCTGCCTGCACAGTGTCAGCTCCCTTCAAAGGCGGCCCCTCTAAAGCCGCCTCCTGGATTCCCGTCCCGCAAAGCCCCAGGCACTCGCGGACGGGGGCAAAAAGCAAGGGGGACCGGGGCGGGGCAGTGCAACCTCCCTGCCGTGACACTCTCCCCACTCTGCCCTCTCCTCTCTGGGGAGCAAGACGCAGCCTAGCTGCTCCTGACAGCACTATTTTTAGCAGTCCTCTGGCTGTCAGCTCTGGGACGAGTTTTCTGCATGTTCCCCGGAGATCTCCCACCCTGCTGTCGCTCTCAGGAGGAGGGAGGTTGGCGGGAAGGCAGCCTGCCCGGGTCCCTGTCCCAGTACACTTTCCCGAACGAGTCAGTAGCACAGGACAGTGAAGAGCTTTGGTATCCGAGAGCTCAGGCTCAGATCCCAGCCGCCTCAGGCAGCCCTGAGACCTCGGGGAGCTAGCCTGGCTTCCCCCAGCCTCAGGATTCCTTCACACACACCTAAGTGCTTAGCGCTTGGCCTGGCCTAGCACCTGACCAATGCTCTTTTTTTTCAGCTCCCTTTACTTCTAGGGCCCTGCTACGAGGTTGACCTCACAGCCCAAGGCAGGTCATGCTTCGGAACAGGGGCAATGACCCTGGTACCTCACCCCAAAGGGGGTCACTCTTTACAGGTGACCTCCGCATGCCGAGACCACAGCCTCAAACCAGCTCTCTCTTTAGTCCTTTCAGATGTCATCAGACACTTCAATCCATCTGTCCTGAGGCCCATCTGCAGCCCTGGGAAGGGAGTGGTACCCCATAACGGTGCCGAGTAAGCTCTTTCTCTGACACTTTGCAGGGTTGTGCACTCCCGTCAGTCCTGGGTTTCTAGATGGGAGGATTTGGGGTGGCGGGCTGGAAGAGTCAGAGGCTTAAAACTAGAGATCTGTGTTAAAGCCGGAGCTTATCTCCTGCGCTGATTTTAGTCTGTTTGATGGGCCTAACTTAAAAAATCAGGTCAATGTCTGCCCTCCAGAGCCCAGGAGCGGTGTAGTGCAGCTTCCAACTCAGAGACTGGCCTGTGGGCTGAGGCAAGGGGCAAGCTTCCGGCCCTCAACAAAGTGGTATTTAACTGAGTTTTCTCTCTGCTTCCCTCCCTCTGTGCAGAGACTTGTGGATTCAGGCAAAAGAGCTGGTGAGGAACATGAAAGAGAACCAGGTAAGAATCCATCTGGCTCTGCTGGGGGCCATCTGTGTTTGCTGAGAGGCAATCAGGCAGCTGACGCCCCGGGGTCATCATGGCCTGAACTAGGCAACCAGTGTGGCCTGGGCCCTCCAAGACTGCCTTTCCCCTGGTGATTCTCTGGAGGCCAGCAAAATCCAGGGCCACTTCTCATGTTCCCAATGTGGTCCTGCCGAAAGTCAGCAGGTGGGCTAAGTAACTTCCTGCTCAGCAAGATGGTTGACAGCTTGGGTTCCAGAGGGAGACCAGTTTGAGTGGGAATCCTGAATTTCCACCTATTAGCTGTGTGACGTTGGGTAAGGCGCTTAACCTCTCTTAGCCTCGGTTTTCCCACTTAAGAAATGCGAGTAATAAAATGACCTGCAGCACAGGGCTTAGGGTGGATTCAATGAGGTGTTGGATGTGCCTGGCACACACAGAGGCAGTGCTCAGTGCAAGCCTGCAGCTGTCATGATCACTGAAGTGGCCACTGCTGTCGTTATTAATTACGATACCCATTTTAGTTCTTGGGTGGAGGCTTCTGTAACATACATGCTGGGGCCCCGGTCTCCACTCTTCTAGCAGTTCAGACACTCTTCACTCAGAAACTCACATATGGACTTGTAATTAGCCACCTCTAACCTTTTGTGCTCTCCTTATGAACAAGTATCAAATCAAGGCAAGCCTTGCTACCAAGCTGGCTCTAACCAGGGTCTCAGCCTGGACCCCTGGAACCAAGGGAAACCACTTTGAAGGCCAGTCACGCATTCATTAAAGAGTTCAGGTGTTCAAGCCAGGTCATTCCAGGTTATACAAGGACAGGGACAATTACAGGAGTGATGCTGTAAAACGTTGGTTTCCTCCTCCCAAGAGACTTCCTGAATTTCTGGAATGGTCGTAACATTCTGGAAAATGGCTAGGAGGTCTTGAATCCAATCCTGTCATTTTACAGATGAGGAAACTGAAGTCCCAAAAAGTCTTGTGACCCGTCCGAGTTCACTCAGCAGGTTAAAAGCTAAAATCTAAAGTGCCTCATTCTTATCCAACGCCCCTCAAGTACACCATGCTGCCTCTTAAAAAACAGAAGTTTATTTTTTGTTCCACGTAACCCGTGTTCATTAGAGAAAGATCAGAAAACACAAACAGAAGAATATTAAAATCATCCTTAAACATGATGCCCAGAGAGAATCACTGTTCCCAGCTTGGTGTACACTCCCTTCCACATTTTTTCCAAGCACGTTTATCTGTTTTTATAAAATAGGGACGTTACTAGATGTAGAGACTTTTTATAATCTGCTTTTCTCGGTATCCTATTTCCCATGACAATAATTACGTTTTCCAGCATCGTTTTAACAACTACATGGTGTTTTGTCTTATGAGCATTCCACAACTTACACAGCAGTCCTCTGTTTTAGCCATTTACATTGTTTCCAATTTTTGACTCTTATGAACAAGGCTTGGATCGAATGGTAAGCCCTTTAAAAAAAAAAAAAAAGGTTTTGATAAGTTTTGCCAAACTGCCTCGTAGAGCAGTTTATACCACTTTAAATTCCCACCATATACACCTCCTTTTGGGGGAAAAAAATCCATACATATGGTTTTATGGGGGTGGTGTATGAAATGGAAAGACACGCAAAGAAAGCAGTTCTCTTGGCTTCAGGTTTCACCACCGTCTCTTTTTGATGCTATTGTCCTCTCTTCCAGCAACTTGACTTTCAGAATGACTGGAAGCTCATCACCGTGTTCTTCAGTAACACTAGCCAGTGTCACCTGTGTCCCTCCGCCCAACAGGTAAACCACAGGCTGGGAGGCAGAGGGATTGCAGATGCTGGGGTGGGTGCAGAAGGAACTAAACCTGCCTGATTACATCTGGAAGGCTGGGCCTGATAGCACCTGTTTCAGAGTTAGGGCAGGCAGGCAGGTAGAGAGACAGACAGATATCTAAGGGCTCAAGGAAACATATTGAGGGAGAGGTATTTTTAACTTACCATCCTTACCATTCAGGAAAAGGAAACCATGGTATAGATAAGCTGAGTCAATGGTCATTCTGCACCTGAGGAAAATCCGCTTCCTAGTTCAAAAATCATTTTGCCTCTTTTAACTCTGATTTCATTTGAATGCTGAACTTAGGAAATAAAGCAGTACTTTTGATAACACCTCTTGAACTCTAGCTCACCGTGAACCCTAGTTTTAGTGGGAAGTTGTCTAGTTGTTTATTAGGTAGACTGTATCTTCCAGGCTCTTTGGCGTTGCCAGGAATGAGATATGAAACATGTGACTTTTAAGATATTTAGGTGGGTGACTGACTATGACTTAAGTCTTTATTGACAAGTGTCCAGGTTAGGATCAACTGAAAGTGAGAGGGTGGCTTAGAGGCCTAGGCCATGGTGACGTAAATGGCATACAGGTGACCCTTCTGGAGCCTGAAGCCTCATTGCCACCCAGCTGGCCCTGCCACTTACGGCAGTTCAAACACCTGCCCACTGTCCTTTCAGCAGCCTTCCAGGGCCTCCACCAGGCCATGGCACAGGCAAGGGTGAAGTTTCTTGAGATGCTGTCCTCTTCTTTTCTGTGCCCCTCTCCCAAATACGTACTCTTGCCTTCCTCCAAATGCCCCATGACCCCTGCCCCATGACCCCTGCCCCATGACCCCTGCTCCACCACCAAAATCCCCTCCCTTTAGTGATGTTAGGCGCTGGGAGAATGCTGACAGAAGCCCACCTTCCCTAATCAGCTCTTGTTAAACAGTATTCCTGCGGATCTCCTGGGTTTCTGGCGTATAGATCTTGAAGCTTATTCTACTTCACCTCTGTTTTCTCCCATACCAAGGGAAATTTCCATGCCCTGTTTATTCTCTGCACCACCCCCTGCACTTTGGCCATTTTGCACACCAACATTTACTCGTGAATTTACACATTCATGCATTGAAATGCTCAAACAAGCATTTAGGCATTGCTGCATTCCTCTGTATATCCACGCAACCATGCATCCATGCATTCATGCATCCATCCGTAAGTTACCTATTCGTGCATCAATTCATTCTCTCTTCTTACATGCAGGCACACATTATTGTACTTATGATGAGTTTGTTCATGCTAGCATTTGTTTGATTTTTTAATATTTGAATGTATTCATTGATACTTACACTCATTCATGATTTCTTCCATGTATTTTATCTTGTGTTCGAGCATTCCTATGTGAATTCTTGCATTCTTTCGTGTATTTATTCCTTCAGTATATTACATGCATTCTTGAATACATGCATGATGTATTCCTGTGTGCGTGTCCATTTATGCATTATTTATTTTTATTAAATTTAGTTACACAAGCAATGTACAGATGCTTTCTTCTTTTAAAAAATGAAACATTATAGTTAAAGCGAAAATACCCTTTAGCCACCACCTCCAATCCTCTCTCTTTTTATTTCCAAACTTTTTGCATATTTGTAAATCCTAGTATTCCTTTATGTGTGTGTATATAAGAGAGAGATTTAACATAAATAGTATTATATCGTATGTACCACTGAACAATTTTTTTTCACTAATCGAGTGTTTTTGAGATCCAGTCATGTTGATACATATGGATTGAGTTTATTCCTGTTACTTGCTAAATGGTATCCCACTGTGTACATTTACTACATTTTATTTCACTGTTTCTGTATTGATGGCCATTTAGGTGTTTCTAGTTTTCCACTAATATAAACAATCTTGTTCATTTACTTGAACATGGTCGTTTTCTAAATACAGTGATTATATTTCATTGTATTCAATTACAGTGTAATTTATTATATTTTAGATTATAGATTGAAGTATATTAGTGGGTCAAAAATCAGTTTAAAAGATTACAACCAAAAATTATAAAAAAAGAAATAGACTAGGATCAACTATAAAATATTAGAGTTCATTGCATGAAGTAAGGTAAGTGTTGGTTCGTGATTATTTTTGCTTCATTCATATATAGATATGTGTGTACCGGGTTGTGATGTGAAACATATCTCACACTGTGGGTCATGATCAAAGCAGTTTGAAGAAAGTGCCTTGAGTAGATTCGTAAACATAGAATTGCTGGTCATCAGATACATACACTTTAAGTCTTAAAGGGCTGCCTAATTGCCCTCCAAAGGAGCTGAACACCTTTATATTCTAATATCCTGGGACCAATCCCCACATATAAGGGGCTTTTCCACGCCACCAAGCAATCCTCAGACACCGGCTGGGTGTCCTACAATTCAGCTCAATTCTGACACGATCTGCCTGGAGACAGTATCAGATCCCACAGGTTAGGAGCTCAGTCCTGCAAGACTGTCCCCAGCCCCCATTTCAGTTGCCAGTCCCAAGTCCAGGTTGTCACCTGAGCTTCTGCCCAACTGGCTATCAATTGGAGGTTCCAACAAGCCCCTCCTTGAGTTCAATTAATTTTCTAGAGTGGCTCACAGAACCCAGGGAGACATTTTACTTACTAGGTTCTTGGTTGATTATAAAAGGATATAATTCAGGAACAGCCAGATGGAAGAAATGCATAGTGCAAGTATGGGGAAAGAGCGAGAAGCTTCCATGCTCTCTCCAGGTGGGCTGCTCTCCCAGCACCTGCAGGTGGTCGCCAACAGGGGAGCTCTCCGAACCCATCCTTTTGCGCTTTTTTGGAGCTTCGTTACATAGTCAGGATTGACTAAATCATTGGCCAACGGCAGCTGATTCAACTTCCAGCCCCAGGTTGGGTGGCGGTCGTGGGCAGGGGGACTGAAAATTCCAACTCTCTGATCCCAGGGTTGGTTCTCCTGGCAACCAACCCCCATCCTTAGGTGTAGTCCCAAAGTCACCTCATTAACACAGCAAAATACACTTTGATGCTCTCATCACTTAGGAAATTCCAATGGTTTATGAGCTCTGTGCCGCCAAAGGGGACAAAAACCAAATATATACCTCGTATTACAAATGACAATATCACATATTCTCACCAGTGTCTGAGTGCACCCGTCCCCTACAACCTTTCCAACACTTGTTGTTATCAAAGCCAATGATTTTTTTGTCGGTATGTGAAATTCCCTCAGGATCTAGTCATGTTGATACATGTGGATCAGGTTTATTCACACTTAGAACCTCACACTTTTAATTGGTTGTAAACATATGACAAAAGTAGCCATGCTCCACTCCTGATTTCTAAATGGCTACATACCAGTGACTTAATCTCTGTAAACTGACCTCACTGAAGCGATGTTTACTATCATCCACTCATATTCCCACTGTGTTGCGTTTTTCCTTCCGTCTTGATTTTCCTTTGGCCCAAAGACCACCGAGGCTTTGGAGCCTAGAATAAATCCCACCTGCACTTCCATTTCCCCCAAAGGACATTGTGGCTCATGGTTCTGGCTCTCGACCTCCTTGGCCTGGGCTGGCTGGTTCCTCCCTTCACTCTTGCACTCTTGCTTCTGCAGCCCAGACCCAGCCCTCACCTCCTAGTCTCCCTGGTGGCGCTTCTGGCCACAGCTAACCAGGATCCCCCATCTGAGAAGCTCTTACACAGCACTTCTGCATCCCCAAAGCACATCCCAGGCATGGCCTCTCCCTCAGGGGTTGCTCTGCAGAGTCCCAGGGGCTGCAGGAGGTGCTCTGAGACTGTGGGCTCCAGGCTTCCACCCGACCTCACAGAGCAGGGGCTCTGCCTTTAACTGTGGCATACATATGGCAGGTTTCCTGAAATAGTTCATGTGAGAAAAAGGTATTTTATTGTTAAGAAGAAATGTTAAACTCCGGTCCTGCCCTACTTAGGACCTGGAATTTTCCTCCCCTAAGAGACCTTTGGGCTCCTTTCATGGGGAATAGACAAGGGCTTATGTCCACATGTGTTCTTTAGGGATTTCTTAAGACCGAAGCCATAAGAGTAAGACCAGGAACCATTCATTAGGCAGTGATGGTGCTTCTTCAGGGCTGCTATGGTGGATGCAGCAATTCAAAGGCAGGTGCTTCAGAGCTAACTAGTAACCTGGCTTATAGCAGTGACACAGGGGTGCTTTTAGGGTCTGGACTCTTGCTTACTGCTCTCCAGTTAAAGTCTAGTTATATGGAGTAAGAACAAAATTGCAAGAAGAGAAAAAATAAAGGAAAAGAAAAACAAAAAGCCTAACACTGCAAAAATCTGTTACTGAATCAAGTTTCTTTGCCCCATGCATGACAGGCCACATGCTGGGACACTGAGGTTTGCAGAAAGAAAGGATTTATTCACCAGGCAGCCAAGTGAGGAGATGCGAGAACAAATCTCAAATCCACCTCGGGATATTTATGGGATAAAGAAGCAGGGCAGTCCGAGGCATGGGGAATGTGGGGGATAGGTGATTGGAGAGAAGAAAAAGGTGAGGTAATCGTCTGAGCAGGTGCAGCTAAGCTACATGCTTCTTCATGGGATGCATGTTCAGAAAATGGTAGCGTTAGCATGTTCTGAAGGTGGAGTTCTGGGCCCTCTGACATCAGAAGGTCACTGATGGGACACTCAACACATGCCCAGTTGGAGGCCTCAACCAGTCTTGTCCAGTTGGAGCTTGAGCCAGTGAACAGCCGACTCCAAGTTCCTGAAACACAACTAGGGCAAACATCTTATTTAGGCCATGGAATGCTTGGAGAACATGCAAGTTTTTATAAAAACAATTAAGGGAACTTGATCAGTGAAGGCAGGTTACAGTTCATTATTTATTAAGCAAGTTGTAGTTTAAGGTATCTAATGGATGAAACTTGGTTTCAAAAATATACCCATTCATTCCTTGCAGATGCCTTTAGAAACAGGTGTCAACATTTTGGAGGACACGCTGGCAGTATGACTCAAGAAACCTAAAAGTGTTTGTGTCTTTTGACTGAATAATCTTACTTCTTGGAATAAATCCCAGATAAATAACTTGGTAGAAAAAGTTAAGTCTGGTTGCAGGCACATGTTTGATAACAGAGCATTCTTCTGATTCTGGGGGCAAAATATGGAAATGTGTAAGTTCCTTTGAAGAAATAAGCTTTTTCCTGACTTCGAGTTATGGAGGAGTTTATCACATGTGACCTTCTAGGCAGGGGACATTTTATAGGAGCATCATGTCTTCCACTAAGGATCAGGGACAGTTGGTGCCCCAAGGACAACCATTGAATACCTGGAAAGCCTAGGTGGGCCCTGATTCACTCTGTAGCAGTGAGTCAGCACCTTGACTGAGAGGTTTCTAAAACAGGGTTTGCAGTCTGAGGAGACGCATACAGGGATTCCCCGAGGAAAGAGGGATGCCCTGCATATGATACAGGCAGTGAGGACCTTTCTGGACCGAAGTTCCTATGACTCCTAAGAAGGGAAAGTGTGGTGCTTAACGTCATGCTCAGGGAGAGAAAAAATGAGACAGGAGGCTTTGTTGCTGGCTACGGCAGCAGATTGGGCTGGACTGGCTTCCAGAGGACAGCCTGGCACCAAAGTGGGGACACAGGAGCGGGAGGCCACCCTCCACGCGGTCCCAGCCCGACTGATGGGCAGCTGTCTCCAGAGTCACCACCTGTGTCCCCCCCAGGAAACAGAACGGCTGCTAGGCCTGCTTTGTCTTCCTGTCTGAGCCAAGTCGCCTCAGGGGACAGCAGGTTTGCAAGCAGCTTAGGAATCTGTCTTGTTGCAAAGTTTATTTTTGTTTCGTTTTGTTTTTACACTGAAAAGGTAAACCCGGGTCGTTTTTTGAAGTGCTCTCATTTGTTTATTTTCATTACCTGCAAGGAATTGGGTGGGAAGAAGGTGTCTTTAAATACTCAGTGACAGGAGCCCTTTTCTTAGGGCAGATGTGGCAGGGAAAGGTCTGATAAGAGTGCCATGTGGAAGTTTTGAGGTTCATCTGGGTCCTTAAATCCAAGCGTTCCCCCTTTGGACCTGATTTTCTTCAGGTCAAAGTGATTCCATCAGTCTTTGGGAATAAATCTGGTCTCATGTCCCTCATGTGAGCTTTAGAATTGCCTTGGCCTTGGGTTTGCCCTTCCCTGACACAGAACTTCTCATTTGGGAGAGTTTACTTTTTTCCTGGTGGGTGATGTGTTGGGGAAGTCAGAGAATGGACAAAAATCCCAGGAAGCTCTGGGAACTCTACACTTGTGTGTGGGAAACTGGGGTCTAGATGGGGCTTTTGTTACTATCATCTCTGTCGAGGGGGGATGGGGGGTTGGGGAGGGGAAGGGACAGGCCAGCGTGAGCCTGGGCCTCTCTGCCCCGTGTCCCCCGTCCCCACCCACACTCAGAACATTTCTCCTTCCACAGCAAAGACACGTGACGAGCAGCATGGACCAGCTGACGAGAATGCTGGACTGCCTGCATCAGGAGGTGAGGTTGGCAGCTCCCTCAGCTTGGTGGGACCACGCGCCCGGAGCTCCCTCACGGGCACCTGCAGCAGCCAGGAGAAGCTGCCCTTCCGTGAGGTGGGGGGACAGGTTCTGGTTTCTTTCGAATGGCCTCCACCAGGACGGGAAAATGGACTCCCAGGAGGGAGACCAAGACCCCAGGGAAAGGGAAGGCTCTGAGTGCTTTTGATGAAAACATGGGTCACAGATAGACCTCTTCACTCTTGCAAAGGATATTACTAAGAGCGCCCCCTGGGGAGGAGGGAGGATACAGCCCTGTTCCCCCCTGGGGTCTCTGTGACCCGCTCCTTCCTGAGGCCCGTTTCTGACTGTGTCTGGGGCAGTGATGGCCTGGAGCCTGCAGGGACCTTGAGAACTCTCAAGGCTTCCCTAAGTGATTAGTGTGAGCACTGCAGGTCCTGGAAATCCCAGGGGAGCTCTGGGTTCTCACCTTCCCCGCCTTTCCCTAGGGAGGAAGAGGGTCCCCAGTCCCATTACCACTGGGTCTTGCTGCCCTGTGTTGGGGAGGTGCCCTGCCCACCGTGAGGGGCGGTGAATGACCCATTTCTGGATGGCGCAGCCGACAGAGCTGACAGCTTTGAACTGACCCCAGCCAACCACGTCCCAAAGGGCCTGCCTGTTTAACCAACGAGAGTCCCATCGTGCTCAACCAGACCCCAAACTAGGCTCGAACCAGGGGTTCCAGAGAGGCCGCAGGGCAGCGGCAGCGACTTTGCAAATGCTCATCTTGCCCCTCGTATCCCCCTAGGTCCCCAAAGCATTTGTGAACCTGGTGGATCTCTCCGGGGTTCTGAGGGGCTCGCATTGGCATCAGGGGACTCCGCTCAGGTAAAAAGGGAAGTGAAAAGGGACCAGCATTTGTCGACTGGTGCCACGCGCCAGGCACCGTGTGGGGCACTTCACGTGCATCAGCTGATCCAAGGCGTGGAGTGGGAGAGAGACAAAGCGATGTGTGTAAGATTACACAGCCAGCGGGGGCAGAGTCAGGCTGCGGAAGGGGCCCTCTGCTGCATTGTTTTGGGGACTGAGTTAAAGGATGAAATATGCAGCCTGGTTGACGTAGTGACAGGTGCCCCAGCCCCACCAGGGTGACTTGAGAGTTTAAAAACCAGCTTGGGCAAAACAGCTATTAGCCAAGAAGTATTACTTCCAGAAATTGGAAAGACAATTTAGTCTAATTGTATTTTATTTTCACACAACTTGATTCCCATGTATTTCTGAGATTTTGCAGAGAATTTAAACTTTCTGAGCCCAGATCCTGAGATTTCTGGCTGGATAAAGTCAGGGCAGGGGCGTTGTAGGTCGTGGCAATGGAAAGGAGAGGACAGTGCAGAGAGGATAGGGGGGTTTGAAGAGGAAGAAAGGTGAGGGAACGGTGGCTCAGAGTAGGGGAGGGGAGAACAGGAGGTGGGTTTCTGGGGGAGGAGCAGTGAGGGAAGCGGTGCATCAGGAGATGAAGTGAGAGGCAGTGTCTCCATAACATACCCCTTTTTTTTTTTTTGTTTGTTTTTTTGCGGTATGCGGGCCTCTCACTGTTGTGGCCTCTCCCGCTGCGGAGCACAGGCTCCGGACGCGCAGGCTCAGCGGCCATGGCTCACGGGCCCAGCCGCTCCACGGCATGTGGGATCTTCCCGGACCGGGGCCCGAACCCGTGTCCCCTGCATCGGCAGGCAGACTCTCAACCACTGCGCCTCGAGGGAAGCTCCATAACGTACCCTTTTTTCTCCCCAACGTGTACTTCCTTCCTTCCTTCTCCTGGGCCATCTAAGACTTCCAGCTTCCCCTTCCCCCGACTCCCAAAGCAACTCCCAGTGCCCCCAGCCCCACCTTCCTCCAAGAGGGAGTCTAAACGGCCCCACACGGCATCCATGCTCACTTCCTGCTTGTTTTAACCTGCAGTCCCACGGCCGAGCCCTGCAGGTGCTCAGGGGAGACCTCGCGGCTGTCCAGGGTTGCGACCCAGTGGGCCTATCAGGTGAGTGCACTCTGGGACACTGCCTGTTGGCTCACAGGGGCAGGTGGTCATGAGAACAGGGATGGTGGGAACAATTAGGGTGCACGTTTGCTGATGTAGGACCCCACCAGCTGAAGTCAGAACTGAGGAGCGAACGACAGCAGCTACTCTTGCGTCGCTTCCAGGTGCTGACTTGATCTTCCAGCACGTAAAGTGGGAACTGCCGTACTGGTTGCGGGGAGAGTGGATGCAAGTGGAGGGTGGTGGTGGTACCTACGGTAAGAGATGCTGAAGGATTCTGCAGATCGTTCCAAGATGCTTTTGGTCATCATCCCCCTTCTGCCACTGCATCTGTGGCTGGTGGACTGGTTTGCCTGGACTAGGCTTGCACAGCCTGCAGCCTGGACTGTGGTCTGGCTCCTGAAGATGTGCATCTAGTTTACAGGAGAGACCCCAAGACAGTGTGCATGGCTCAGCGGAAGCCTCCATCCCCACCAGCAAACAGTGCAAAGCACGGTTCCCACTGACATGCGTTAACATGATGATTTTTATTTAAGAGGCAGTTTTGTATAAGAAGTTTTCCATATGAAGCTGTATGTCATTTCTCTTGCTTTGAAAATGACATTTTTTGAGTGGTTAATAGCACATCCCTTACAGAACTCAGCCCTTGAAGAGAGAGTGGGGACCCTAGCTACATACTGGGCTGGCGTATACTTCTCGAGCTCCCAGAGAACAGTTCTCAGGTCTTACCTGATGCTGGACGTCAGAGGAAAATGAAAACCTGATTTAGTTAATCAAAGGGCCCTGAAGTGTGAGATGAGAGGGAGCTTCCCGATAGCATGTGATTCAGAATAGCATGGGTGGGTGATTCTGACCGGGGGGCTGCTGGGAACTCCCTGGTGTGAGGATGCGGCAGGCTGAGCCTCGCTGGTACTCCTTTCTTCAGGAAACCTGGGAACAGCTCCTGGCCTCCAGCAAGTACAACGAGCAGACGTCCTTCGCAGTGGTTTTCCAGCCTTTCTTCTACGAGGGAGCCCTGCCACCACCCTCGGTGAGTGAGGGCCTGGCCCACACCCTCTCCCTCTCCCTCCCCTGCCCTCTCCTCTGCAGATGCCCCAACACAGTTGAGCTTCACCGAGCCCAGGATGTGTAGTCTCAGGGGGAAAATGCTGCAGTGTTCTCTTATACTTTTTGGACAACTTCCCCGTGGGGTTGGATAGCCCTGTGAGGAAGGTTCCGAGAGGCAGAGCCGCCCAGAGGTAAAGAGCATGGGCTCCAGCCAGACGGCTTCTGGCTTTGGAATGGGCCGGCTGTGTGACCTTGGGCAAGTTGTTTGAACTCTCTGTGCCTTGGTTCCTCATCTGTGAAATCAGGGCCATTATTAACATTCCGCCTGCTAGAGTGGTTGTCAGGGTGATTAAATACATGTGAGGAACTTAGAGCAGCGCCTGGCTCTTGGAAGCCCGCAGTGTCTCTCAGCTATGGTGACTATTCAGGATGGAATTTCCAGGCCCCACACTGCACTCCTCCCGCTGAAGGCTCCTCCACATCTATCCCTGCAAGGGAGGGCACTCTGAGTTGTTGCCTCACCCAGGTCACTGGGCAAACGCCCCTTCCCCCTGGGGGTCCTGCAGACCACAAGCGCTGTGGTGGGTGCACACGTGCTCAGCTCAGCAAGGTCTCTACACCTCTGGGGCTTCAGCACTGTACATCTGGGACAGCCCCTCCCTCCAGGCTCCTGGCTCCTGCCATTGGAGTCATTGTGTCCCTCCGGGACTTCAGTGATGTTTAAATAGTGGTTTAGTAGGAGGAGGAATATTAGTTCCCGTCCCCCCCTCCTACTCAGACCATACCTGAATCACTTCCCTGTCACCTCCTTCTGCTGTTGAGTTCAGTGTGTACAACCCCACAATGCAGAGGAGCAGCCAGACGTGTGACGCGCCCCTACAGGCCCTCACCTCCGAGCCTATAAGTCCCTGCCATCATTGATGGGGAGGGACTGAGAGATGGAATCTGAGTGCATCAGGACCCCCATCTCTACCGGGAGAGCTTCAGAGTGCGCGGCAGGGCTGTCCCAGCCCCAGGGGCACACGGGACCTCTCATCTGGTTCTCTTTCAGGGGGAGCGACCACTCCAGGATCCCACCGTCCTCGCCTTGACTCTCTGGAACAGCATGGTGAGTGGCTGGGGGTCCCGGGGCGCCGCCCTGCCAGCCTGGGGTTTAGTCTATGGAAGGAGAAGCAGGGTCTCTGCCGTCGTGCCCCGTCTGCTCACCGCTCTGATGGAGGGGTTGAGGGACACCAGCAGGACCCCAAGATGATGATTCTGGGCCATCAGGGTCCCTCCCACATCCAGTGACAGCCCATCTGGGACCACCTGGGAGTTTCACCTCCTCTTCCTGGAAGCTGGGCTGCAGCCCTGACAGTGAGCACGGCTCCCTGGGCAGCCTCAGTCCTGCTCTTTCCCGATGCAGGAACGTTTCCTTGGCATCTGTCTGGGAGACCTCACTTGGAGTGGGGCACTAGGGAGAAGGCTCGCGTAGCAACCTGGTCCAGCTCTCCCTCATTTTACACTTAAGTTTCCAATGCCCAGGGTGGTGCCTGGGGTGAGTGTGGAGTGATGAAGACCTGGGTTCAAAGCTCTCACAAGCTGTGTGAACTCAGGGTCTCAGCTCCCTTTCTGCAAAACCCCTGAGCCAACACGTGGAGAGTGTACAGCTCCCTCCCGGCCCACAGCGAGTATTCACCCTGGGTGGCCCTTCTTACTCTGACTGTGACAGGCTTCCCCCAGACTCTGAAGGTCCCCCGGGGCTGTCTGGGATTAGTCAGTGGATGGAATGTTCCACTAAACTTTGAACCTCTCCAGAGCACCAGACAGAGACCTGATTTTGCCATTTATTTTTGTCCCATCCAAACTGTCCTAGAATTCCAGGGACGGCAACCTGGTTTTCTTCTTCCTCGCATTAGAAAAATTTCTCTCCATCTCCTCAGACTGAGGTGCTGTGCTGAGTCCTGTGAGCAGCTGTGGTTGGGTGCGCAGTGGCCAGTAAGACAGCAGGGAGGGCAGGGGCCAGCCCAGGCAGCCCGGACTGACGGAGTCACACTAGCCTTCGGAGAAGCCATTTGATTTCTTTGAACGAGGACCCTTGTTGGTGGGCCTGACCCCTGAGCGGTCAGGCCCCAGAAAACCACTTTGCTGTTCATCTCCCTCCACCCTCTCTCTGGGGGAGGAGGGCTGATTCTTCCAGCTCGGCCAAACCTCTCTCCTCCTCTGTTACCTTTCTCCCAAGCAACGAAAGAAAGCCTAGAGGGTGCCTACCCTATGCTGGGTCCAGGGAAGATACAGGAGACACACCAAATGGCCCAGCGAATAGCTGGAAGGGCACAGCAGGAACAAGGTCATGCCCTGGACAGAGCAGCCAAAAGGGATATGGGCAAGAGGCCAGGACAGCCCCACGGGGGTGGGACTGGAATTGGCTTTGTCGGCATGGGTTGGGGGGAAATATGTCAGAGGAGGTGGGGCTGGCATTCCCAGGCGAGAGGAGCTGTGTGAACAGAATAAAATGCACTAGCAAGGGGTGGTGGGAGAGGAACGGGATAAGGAGGCCCCACGAATGAATGAAGTGCCCTGTGCAATCAGACAGGCGCACGGCGCGCACAGCGCCCTGAAACCCGCTCGAGGGTGAGGATGGGCAGGTGCCCAGAGGGGAGCAGAAGGTCTCACGCTCAAGGCCAAAGGTCTGGGACCCAGTGGATGTCCCAGGGGCTTTGGGGAGGAGGCAGCTTTCCTACGTGGGCAGTTACCTGCCCAACGAACCAGCAGTCCTTTCCCAGGGAGAGGCCTCGAGGTCCCCGTAGCCGAGCCAACAAGGTGGGAAGCGTGTCCCCTGGCTTCCTCTCGGGCAAAACGCCAGACCATCCCACGGCTCCCGAGCGCATGGACAGCTCCTGCAGGTTAATTTATGAGAAATTACGAAGGTAACAGGTTAGGGGAAAGGGCACTGGGTGAGGAGCCAGAAAACCTGGGTTCTGAGTCCAGCTGTGTTGTTTCTTGAGGTGAGTCACGTGGTCTTTCTGGGCCCCATTTTCTCTATTTGCCAGCCTCAGAGGACCTTGGGAAATATAGGAGCAGTTCACCCTTGGGTTCCCTCCTGTGTCCTCCCAGGGACATGGGGAGTCCAGGAGCCTCCCTGCCTCCACCTCTGTGTGCCTCTGTGGTGTTGGGCTTAACTGCGACTATAGAGGTAAAAGACAGCTATGTCCGTCATGCCCACATTTGCAGACACACAAGAGCCCCGAGTGAGGGCCACCCTCTTACATGGGGAGCAGAGAGGGACCAGCGGAATCGCTGTGACCAGAGGGGCCCAGCTTCTACCGCTTCTCTGCTTGGCCTCGACCTAGGACACAGCGATGGTGGCGACTGTGCAGGGCTACACAGTGTCTGCTCCCCGGGCCAAGTCCCGAGGTGCGCGTAAGCTCTGAGGGCCAGTGAAGGAAAACCCCGCACACACGCACGCAGTCATCGTGAGCGGCCCTGCTTCGGAAACACGCCTGGCTGCATGAGCCACCCAGACGGAAGCGGAGCTCCTGGCACAGAGCAGAGGAGGGTTTTGTGTTTGGGATGTAATTCATTCCCTGGGCCCGTCCTGCCTCCTCAATAATTTCTGATGATTCTTATGTAACAGTAGTGTTGACGAGACCCACCTGTGGGGACTCAATTGCCAGGTCTAGCAGTCACGGCCCCCCACCTTATTCCCAGCCCTGCGCTAGCGCCAGAGGCGCAGGGCGAGGTGAGAAGGGCTCACAGTCAAGCGGGACTCTTGAGAGCACGTCTAAGGTCATCCCGCCACCCCTGCCACGCTCCAGTTCATCTCGGGGACAGGGAGGCTGTGCAGAAGAGATGCGAGCAATTAAAGGGCTGAAGGGTGGAGTAAGAGAACAGGACCAGCGTCCCCAGGGTGTGTACGGGCACGTGCGGTGCAGGGCGGTGGATGGAGGGACACGCAAAGGGTCATTTGATCTAGCCGAGTCATTTTCCATCCTGAGGATGGAGGGTCAGAGCGTGTGTAAAGGGGATTAATGGCAGCAGGAAGGACGTAGGTGACTGATAAAGAGACATTTAGGACAAGGTTCTTAGTGCAAATGGATTTATTGGGAAAACCTATGAATTTTCCTTTGGCGTCCTTAAAAAATTAGGTTCTGTTATATCCATTCGACTAAAATTATCACAACGTGGCTTTCTCAACATTTCTTTCCAGATTCTATTATTGATTAAATTCTTGAAAGATTGGAGAAGAGAACTCAGGCCACTTCGACATTGGGCCACCGACTCAGGCCCACTGAACACTCCCTTTCAGAGCGGCCCTGAAAGTTCTGGGTTGGAATCCCATACTTAGGAGTGTCCACCATCAGAATAAAACTGAAAGGAGATGGGGAGTGCAGTTCCTTCTCCAGCCCCTGAGCAAAAGGCTGCCACTCGTTTTACAGAAGGTTATTTACACCCTCTTATCTGACCCTGTCCGTTTGGGTGAAGGAAGTTTCCCTGAGAAGATAAAGTTCTTCCCCTGCTTCTTGTTTGCTGGGCACAGATGCCGGGGCAAGATATTGCTGAGGAATCTAAAGGGCTCGTGGAAGATGGCAGAGCCCGTGACTGAGCCAGATAGGGGGGCTCCATCCTGTAGCCTCCTGCACTTTTGTCCTCCGTCAAGGTCTGTGGGAGGGGAGCGGAGGGGAGAGGAGGGACCGGGTGACCTAGGAGCCCAGCTCCTCTGGGCAGCAGGGCTGACAGCAAACACGAGGTCCCCAAACAGTAGAAGACGGTGCGTGCAAGAGAAAATCTGTGATCTCTCAAAGCCACTGTATTTTTCTGTTAAGTGTTTACAAATGTATAATGAACATTTAAAAATAACAGAAGGAACTTAAAATCCTTGCTCCGTTGAATTCTCCAACTGCCTTCATTTTTCTATCTCCCCTCCGATGTCTTTACCTGAGCCGATCCTCTGCTGCTTTCTCTGGCGGGTACACCATACACTTTTCGTCTATGTTGTTAGATAGGCTTCAGTTATCATTGAAGTAGCTGCCTCTATCAGCCACTGGTACCACTATCACTGTTCCTGAATGGCTAGACACTCTAGTTGTTAGCGTGGCGCCGTGCTATGTCCCATGTCACTGTACCTCTGTGTCCCAGGTAAAGACATGGGGCTTGCCAGGTGACAGAGGGTTTCATTCATTCCCTGCTGGTTTACACGAGAGCCATTTATTTGCCCTTCCTTCCCATTCCTACTCTCCTCCCTGCGGGAAATTTAATCAGGGAGCCGGCCAGCAGCAGGGCAGCAAGGAGGGGGATGCGACATCAAGCTAATAACCGGCTCCTGGTGATCAGGTAGCCGGTGACCCTGTGAGAGCGATTTGGTTGAATCTGGACATCCATGTCCTTGTGTCAGCTCAACCTCCCTGGTGTTCACTTTCCCCTGTAACAGGAGGGGTGGGCTGGGAATCGGTGGTTCCTCTCCCGCAATGGGCCCTCACCTTGAGCACGCGTCAGAATCCCTGGAGGGCTTGATAAAGCACAGGGAGCTGGACCCCACCCCAGAGCTGCGGGCTGGGAATTTGCCATTTCTAACGTGTTCCCAGGTGACGCTGATGCTGCCCGCCCAGGGTCACACTCTGAGGAACACTGAGCTAATGGGCCTTTCTCAGTGGTAGTACCCTAGGATGCTGCCACCCGTGTAAGACTTTTCTGTTCTGGACATCACATTCTTTCCTAGATGGAGCCAGCAGGACAGAAAGATGAGCCATTCAGTGCAAAAGAGAGAAGGCCAGTGAAATGTCCCTCTCAGGTAGGCGAGGACTGGGGGGGGCGGGGGGCCGGGGGGCGGCACCTCCTGCTGAGCTGGGGAGAAAGGCGGGGTCACAAAGCAGGGGGCTTTGCTGCGAAGTGGGTCTTACCTGGTTGAGACATTAGCCCGTTAGAGTCTCGGGTCTGTTCTTCTGGGCCTGGGCACACCTAAGGTTTATACCTGTGGGCCAGGAGAGCTGTTTTAACAGAACTGAGGCCCCTTCCGTGCTTGTAGAGGCATAGGAACAAAGGCACAGCTCACATGGCCCCAAATGCTAAGGATGGGTATCTTAAATATGTGCCTAATATATAGTAGGTGTAGAATTAACGTTGCTGAATAAATTAATGAAAAAATAGCTGAATATAAATGAACAGAATTCTTTTTTATCACTTAATGCTAGTCAGATTTTTGGCTTTATTGATGAATTGGTAAGTTTTTGTTACCAGGCTGTAAGAACTGTATAATTCACCCTCTTTTCCTCTTTGCCTTGGCTCTCAGGAAACTTAAGATTAGGTTCTCTTTTCATGGAAATATACCTACTTTGCCTGTTGGCATGGACCTCGGGTAGAGAGCAAAAGATGCTGACTACCGCAAATGGGAAATTTCAAAATGTTAATGAACTCCTTCAGGGAACTAATGAGCAGTCCAGAGAAGAAAAGCCAGAGAATGTTTCTCTCATCCTTTAAAGGATGGTATGAATGTTTCAGATTGGCCAAAGGCATTGCTGGGTGATAAAAGTTGATGATTACAGGATACGGATTTCTGGATCGTGGTTACAACGCATTGCCTTTCTCTGCAGGAGAATCCCTATCTGTTCACCTACAGGAACAGCAACTATCCGCCCAGGTTGCAGAAATCCCAGGCGAAGTTTGAGGTACGGAGAGGTTTTTCTGTGATTGACAAACATGCAGATGAACCAGGGGCCGTACCTTGCTGAGTCTTTTGAAGCTTCCAGGGCAGTTCTTTGTGTCCTGGACCCCATGGGTAGGTTGGAGAAGAGTGAAGGAGCACATGTGTGGCTGTCCCCTTGGTGCTTGAAGCAGGGCTGCCCTCCAGCTCCGTCTTTAAAACGGCCTCAGCAACCAGCATCCCATGGCTTCACGGGGTGTGTTGGGGGGCTCAGCACTACCTGTTCCCCGTCTATTTTGATGCGAGACAAGAATTTCAGGCCCTCCCCCAAATCTCTGACAAGTCTTTTAAAACTCATCTGGGCCCTTAATCTGAAGAGAAAGTCCAGAAAAGGCAGGGAAATGGGGTGAAGTCTGAAAGCTGTCAGCATGGAGACGGGAAGGCCTCAGCTGTTGGCCACACCTTAGGGGCCCGCCTCACACATGTCTTGCTTATGACTTATCTCATGAGTCTCTTTCTGATACTTCCTGTCAAGATTAGATAGGGCACTCCACACTCCTCTGAGGATGCAAGAAACACTTGAAGGTTGTCTCCTTCTCAGAGGACTGGGGACCAATATGGGTTGAGACGAATTTGGTGGTGGTCCCAGCACCGCCCCTGCCTCCCTATTGGATAAAAGGGGGTGCGATTTACTCCCAGGGGTGTAGGCAAAGCTGATGGCCTGGGCCTGCACCACAAAGCCCAAGAGATACGGCGTAAAAGACTTGATGTATCAGCTTGTCCCGTGCTTTCTAACTAATATCACAGCAGTAAGGATACATCTGAGAGGCACCATGCTGCCGCGATTTGAGAGAGCTGGCTCGGGGTTCAAATCCAGACTCTTGCACTTACTGGCTCTGTGTCAGGGGGACTTAACCTCTCTGTGCCTTAGTTTTTCAAATCTGGGAAATGGTGATAGGTCATAGTGCTACCTAATAGAGCTATTAAATTGTAATAAGTTATCAAGTATAAGGCACACATAACAGTATCTGGCATGCCATGAGTTTTATAGTAGAGGGAGCAATGCATATCTTCAGGATACGTTTACTGAATACCAGCTGTGTACCATTAGGATGCACGCTCCATGGGGGCAGTGACTCAGAGCAGGTACCTAGTCACTATTAGCCGAATAACCAAATGGGTGGGCAGGTGGGTGGACGGGGACCAGGCATAGGAGATACAAACACAAATGCGTTGCTTGTCCCAAGGAACTCAGTCTAGTGGAGTCAACCAGCAGTGATGGCACAATGTAAAGAGTGCCGTAAGGTTTCCACGGGGTATTCTGGGAACACAGTGGAAGAACAAATGACAGGCAGGAGAGAGTTGAGAAGGCTTCCCCAAGAGTACCCAAGACCTCAGCCTGAGGATGACAAAAGTCAAGCCAGGTGGGTGGGAGTGAGGGAAACAGAGGGAGGGAAAGGGAAAGAAAGAGCAGACGTAGGTGTTCGGACAAAGATGTGGAGGGACAGAGAGTCAGGTGGATGGTGTGGAACGTCGGGGGCTTCCTACCCCGTGCTGAGGAGGGTGGACTTTATGCTGATGTTAGTACAGAGTGGAAATATGCTTATTCAACCAACAAGTGTTTATTGAGCATCTACTGTGCAGCCTTCTAGGCTCTGGACATACAAGAAGCAAAATGGATGAAAATTCCTGCTTTCACTGAGAATTTGGGCAAGGGAGTGATTTTTATATTGAGAGAGAAAGAGTCCTCTGAATGGATTCAGAAGGCTGGGGAGGAAGCCCACAGGCCGGCAGCAGTGATGATGGTGAACAGGGCCATGTTCCAGGAAGAAGGGACAAGGCCTGAACTTAGCCTGAGGCTGAGGGACTAGGGAAGGGGGGCCGGCTTGGGAACATCTGGAAAGGGTGTTGTGGACGCTCAGATGTGAGTGTTGAAGGAGAGGGAGAAATCCTACATGATGCTTAGGTTTCTGTACTAAGTGATATCTTCCAAAATAGAGGCCCACTTCTCACCCAGTTTCTTAGGTTGCAAGATCCATTTCTTCTTATTTCTCCATGTGTCTCATTTTAGGTGAGAGATGGAACGGAAATCAGGTGTCCTGACAAGGATCCCTCTGACACGATTCCCACATCAGGTACACGGCTTGAGTCAAGTGATTTTTAAAGTCATCTGAGGTCTAAAACCATCAATGTAAGAGCAGCCTTAAGGTGACAGGGCTTTCTACACAATCTGAGATACACCTGAGAAGTTTTCAAGGCCATACAGCTCTGTATGTATACTTGTAAGTTCATGCCTGTGTTTGATTATTCTTTAACTAAAATATGATAACATTATCGAAAGCATTTATTGAGCATTAACTGTGTGCCAGGCCATGCTCTGCAAAGGGCCCAGTGTCAGGTGAGTGAGCTGATGTCATTGTCCCCGCTGGGAAGCCTCGATGAGGTGAACTTATTCTCTGAAACATAAAACTACCTTTAAGCAGGAAGCAAAAATAACCAGTCCAAGCTCCCGGTCAGAGCCATATGCAGAGTGCACTCAAACACTGGAAAGCCATCTTACAAACGTGCCATTTTCACTACTTCTCTGTGTTTCCAAGATGACTGGTGCTGGGCCATGAGGCTCATGGAACATTCTAGGCAGAGACCTTCCCAAAGAGGGGCTGCCTAAGGGCTGAAACTTTTCCTCCAGGTGAGCCAACCTCTGAGTGATGGCTCTGTGCACGTGATCATGGGAGGTCACGGGAGAGCCGTGTGGTGGCCCACGTGACTCACAACCTCAACCCAGGAGCGTTTCTGCAACAATGCGATAGGTTCTCATGCTTGGTCCTGGAGGGTGACTCATTTGTTCATTGATTCGTTCACTTGTTCACTCATCTATTAGATGATTGTTGAATGCCTCTTATGTGCCTGCCAGGATGGAAAGCGAAGTTTGAAGATGTCGCAGCGTGCAAATCTTTGTAGTCACATTGTCTCCTTTTGCTGAGTATTAGTAGAACAGGTTTAAGTGTCAGCCCGCCCTTCATGTCTGTCTTAGCTCTACACGCTCAAATCTAGTCAAATGATGGGCAAGTAAGTTAAAAATCTTCTCACCAAAACTTCGGTGTGTAACTGGTTCTTGACTAAGTTGCAGAATAATAGAATAGGTGACAAAAGTCTTACAGATCTTCCCTGGTGGCGCAGTGGTTGAGAGTCCGCCTGCCGATGCAGGGGACATGGGTTCGTGCCCCGGTCTGGGAAGATCCCACATGCCGTGGAGTGGCTGGGCCCGTGAGCCATGGCCGCTGATCCTGCGTGTCTGGAGCCTGTGCTCCGCAACAGGAGAAGCCACAACAATGAGAGGCCCGCGTATCGCAAAAAAAAAAAAGAAAAAAGGAAAAAAAAAGAATCCCCCTGCCAATGCAGGGGACACGGGTTCGAGTCCTGGTCCAGGAAGATCCCACATGCCACAGACCAACTAAGCCCGTGTGCCACAACTACTGAGCCTGCGCTCTAGAGCCTGTGAGCCTGTGTGCCACAGCTACTGAAGCCCGTGTGCCTAGAGCCTGTGCTTCAAAACAAGAGAAGCCACCGCAATGAGAAGCCCACACACCTCAACTAGAGAAGGCCCGCACGTAGCAACAAAGACCCAATGCAGCCAAAAAATAAATAAATAAGGTAAAAGTCTTTTAAAAAAAGGTCTTACACACACACACTTAGTCTTTAGACTTTTTCCCCTGTACTTAGTGACAGCCCCTTCATATTGGTTAGTTTACTAGCAAAACTTCAGTAGCAGAAACAAATTGTTAGCTTCCTATGTAGGCCCTCCAACAGCAAAACCTCAAAGATGTATGTATGTATAGAGAGAAGAAGGGGGGAATTTGAATGTTTTAATAGCCATACTCTTTACAGTGAAATGATATCCATCCTCTTTTAATCTTATCATTCTGAAAGGATGATGTGTAAAGATTTTGCAATCTGTCTAGATTATGTTCCCATCATGACAGTGATAACCAACCAATCCATCAGAGCATATCTGAACATCTGAAAGCCAAATAAAATGTGAATCTCTTCTTTATTCCTTGACCCTGAAGATTATCTTGTTTATTGGCACTTGAATATATAAGCACAAGAAATCTCAAGACCTTGAGATCTTAGATACTCTGGTGACAGAAGCTGTTTGGATAAGCAGATGGATAGATTTATGCCTCCTTGATCTAACCGAGTGGGCCTGGGACCAAAACATTAGCATTGGCCAACTGGGTGGCAGCCCCCACGGGCTAACGTTGGGCCTGCGACTCTGAGTCCCCCTGAAAAGTGTCTTTAGAAAAATGGCAACAACTAACTGGACAAAAACAAAAAACACATTTCATTACTGCGCTTGATCTATGATTGGACATTTTAATCATACTTGCGGCTGTCAGGGTGGGAAAAAGACTTAGCACAGGGTCACGTTATTATTACCCTTGATGATCGTTGTACTGGTGAGGTCATTCAGTCTTCTGGAGATCGTGTTGGCAATTTCTAATTGAGATGAAGGCCTCTGATACGTACTTGTAAGAGCAGATCATCTTATCTTTACAACCGCAGTGACTCAGCACATGTTAGGGGCCTGATGAATGGTTGGTGAACTCATCTTAATTATGGAGTATTCCTACTTCCGCAAATCAGAAATTCCCAGAGTTGAAAACGATCTTAAAAACCAAGTGGACCAAAATGCCTTCCGTTAAGACAACTTTTCACTAAGACTCTCTTATAAAATAACTGTTTTATCTTCAGAGTTGTTTTCAAAAATCTTCTTTGTAGTCCCCTTTTCTAGTGTCTCTCTCAAACCAACCCACAGCTACACCTAAAGTGATAATTTCAAAATAAGATACTGCCGCTGTCAACAGGTCCCAGCCCCTGGCAGCCCGGGTGCCCCACCCTCACACCATTCAGAGCCCACAGGTGATGAACCTCTTCTACTGATCTATGGGGCTTGGGATGGGATATATAGAGCTGATGTAAGTAATTGTTATTACCAATCGCTATTTGGTAGCATGAATAAATGAATGCACACGTGCGTGCTTCCAATTTTTCCCTTCTGGTCAGTGCATACATGCAATTTACTGCGTGCTACCTCCTGTGAACTTTATAACTTCATAAGTACTTACATCATTTTATATTACTTCATGGCCCTGTCCCTAACATAGTTGGGATAACTAAGAATAACATGCTGGGCCTGGTAGATGACTTAAGGTTTTCCCAGTGAGAAAAGGAGTAGCATTTTGTAAACAGAAGAGCCAGAGGGCACATGGCTCATTGCCTGTCCATTGAAGCTGGCTATCTTGAAGTCAAGCTGCTCATTCCTTGCAGAGGGGAAAATTCATAGTATTTGAAAATAGGAGTCCACCAAGCTAATTCTATGCCACTGTCACCAGTAGTATCAATTAGAACAGTTCATTTATTTTAAGCTATTGATTCCTTTCTAAGTCCCTGATGTCATTTATTTTACCCATTTGGCTAAAATGAGCTATTCAAGCGCTGATATGAAAAATGCCCAGGTTACAGGCACTGGGTGACCACTAGGAGTTTCACTTCATTGTGAATCAGCTGTGTACTGTCCAGTGTACGTCCTGAAACCGTCTCTATAGTCACCACCTGCTCATGAGTCTTGTGGCCTAACCTAGCCTGTGACTAGGAAGTAGTGACGCGCCACAGGGAATATAACAGCCTGCCTGTCCCCTCAGCGTGACCAGCCTACTGGACAAGTTCAAACTCACCCTCAAGACACTCAGATGAATGTATTTCCCTTCCCTGCAGTTTCCACCATTTAAAGCATTGAGAGCTGTAGTCTCTGACACAGAGCCTCTTCCTTGCCTTTAATTCAACTGAACACATTTCTTGAGCTCCTACTGTGTGCGAGGCACATATTTCTTCACATAAACTTATGCCAACGCACTTCAAAGACAGAAACAAGGCCCAACCTGTGCCAGCAGTTTACCACCATTGCAGAAGTCCTTATATAAGTCCCTAAAATCTGAGAGCAAAAGGGTTGGGCAGCCCTAGCTGACAGTCGAGAGAAAGTTGGTTTTTCAGGTTATGGCCCCAGGTTTAAGCTGTTGGGTTACACAAGACAAAACTCCCAAGCGTCAAGTCTTTTTCCTGCTGTTCCTTTTCATGTCCAACGGGCAGTTTCCCCTTTCTCTACTCTAGTCAACCATTTTCTGTCTATTCATGATCTTTTATCTTAGTTTGGATGGCCTTCTGATAAGAGGCCCCTTCTGTAAAAATCTTGATGAGTGAATGATGTGTTTATCAACTGCTTTCAAGGTGGTGGACAGTTTGTACCAGAAAATGTTTAGCTAATCAGCCACACAAATGTAATCTTATCTCTAAAGAGTTCTGTCCCCAAGGAGAGCAATTGCTAAAGTGCTTTGCTGTGGTTCCAGGCTGTGTCTTTATCATATACGATAATATTAACAAAGCTCAAATCAAGGTCTCCAGAATGTCAAACCAATGAAATGTGTGTTGGGTTCTATTTGAATAAGATCCCAGCTGAGTCAAACTCCTCCCATCTAGACTTGGTTCATTTGGTTTATTATCTCTTACAGGCCGTTCCTTACAGAAAACCACCAACAGAAAACCACCCCTCCCAACTTACCCACCAATCTACACGTGTATACACACACGCGTAGATGTGGACATACACGAGTGCGCGCATATATGTGTGTTTCCTTTCTGCCTGCTACAAATTTAGGAGACAGGAATGGCCAGTTTCAGCTGCCCCTTTAGCAAACTGCAATGTGCTTTCAAAGTAAATCTATCCATCTCTTCCACATTTTACTAGCCCCAAAGATGTTCCCTAGCCTTGACACACCAGTTAGTGTTCACAGAATTCACTGTATTACACATCATGGCAACAAGAATACGGTGATTGACTGTCGCCATCAGGAGCTAAAATAAACCGTCTAGAGTTGAAGGGAGGAGGTCTTATTTTCCATTTTGTTGCCTTTTTTACCCAGAGCCTCATTTCTTTGAGAAGAGGTCATTTGAAAGTTCTCAGGCTTGGCCCCGTCGATGTGTGCTAATGTGTGCAGCTGGCTTTGTGATTTGATAATGTTCTTCTAACCACATAGGATTGGGCCCACCCCAGACCTACTAAATCAGAAACTCTGAGGGTGGCAACCAACCATCTGTGTTTTAACAAGCTCTCAGATGATTCTGATGCATGCTCGAATTTGAAGACCACTAATCTCTATATTTTGCATACACACATTCACAGCTATGCATGTGTTACTTTGCATGCTGTCATAGGGAAGAGGCAGGGACTTTTCCTTTTCCAATGAGAGGAAATCCTCAGTGGGAGCAGCAGTTCCACATCTGCAGACAGCATGGAAGTCAGGTAGACAAGACGTCTCCATGGAAGGAGGCAAGACCTAGAGACCTCTTTGAACATTGATCCCACTGACTGTTAACACAGCTTCCCATGCAGGTGTGATTATACACCATGATTTGGATGTTGATGAGTGAAGCAGGCTATATGTAGCCTGCTGGTGTCGAAAGCATCTTGTTCTCTGTGTTTTACTGCCCTCGTTATAGAGCTACTTGGTAAAGAAGGGCTGTCGAGAGAGCCTCCTGGCAGACAGATTTCAGTTTATCCATCTTAAGCAGTGGTCCACTGAAATGATGGGTTTCTTTCCCCACTGAAGTAGTGGGTCACCCCGTGGTACAAATGCTCTATTAGGCTTCTTCCAAGGCTGAAAGCTAATTGACAAGTTACTGTAACATCGCGCCGCTAGAGACCATGAAAGGCACATCTGAGGAAAGATGGAGCTGTGTCAAAGTTGGAGTGACTATGGGAGGAGGTGCCCTGGGGGAGTGGGAGGTGAACTTGTGATTTGAGGGGACAGAGCCACATATGGCAGAAGGAATTTAAGTGTGATTCCCAAAATGCACTTGGATTCAAGTCCGTATGTATATAAGGTAAAGGGGTAGATAGATATAGGACAGGCGTATATATGCAAGTAAATATATATATGTATATGTATGTGTGTATGTGTGTGTATATATGTGTAATATTCATGTTAAGCTCCTAACTTGTTAGCCAGGCATAAAAGGCCTTTGGCCCTAACATACATTTCCAATGTTATTTTTTTTTTAATTGAAGTATAGTTGATTTACAGTGTTGTGTTAATTTCTGCTATACAGCAAAGTGATTCAGTTATACATATATATATATATCTCGATACATTCTTTTTTTAATATTCTTTTCCATTATGGTTTATCATAAGTTATTGAATGGTCCTCTGTGCTATACAGTAGGACATTTTTGTTTATCCATTCCATATATTGTATAATAGCTTACATCTGCTAACCCCCAACCTCCCACTCCATCCCTCCCCAACCCCGCCCCCTTGGCAACCACAAGTCTGTTCTCTAATGTCCATGAGTCTGTTTCTGTTTCGTAGATAGGTTCATTGGTGTCATATTCTAGATTCCACATATAAGTGATATCATATGGTATTTGTCTTTCTCTTTCTGAATTACTTCACTTAGTATGATAATCTCTGGTTGCATCCATGTTGCTGCAAATGGCATTATTTCATTCTTTTTTATGGCTGAGTAGTATTCCATTGTATATATGTACCACATCTTTATCCATTCATCTATTGAAGGACACTTAGTTTGTTTCCATGTCTTGGCTATTGTGAATAGTGCTGCTATGAACATGGGGGTGCATGTATCTTTTCAAATTAGAGTTTTGCCTGGATATATGCCCAGGAGTGGGATTGCTGGATCATATGGTAATTGTATTTTTTGTTTTCTGAGGAACCTCCATACTGTTTTCCATAGTGGCTACACCAACTTACATTCCCACCATATGTATAGGAGGGTTCCCTTTTCTCCACATCCTCTCCAGCATTTGTTATTTATAGACTTTTTAATGGTGGCCGTTCTGACCGGTGTGAGTTGGTACCTCATTGTACCATTTGATTTTGCATTTCTCTAATAATTAGCGATGTTGAGCATCTTTTCATGTGCCTATTGGCCATTTGTATTTCTTCTTTTGAGAAATGTCTATTTATGTCTTATGCCCATTTTTTCGACTGGGTTGTTTGTTTTGTTGTTGTTGAGTTGTATGAACTGTTTGTATATTGTATATTTTGGAAATTAAGTCCTTGTTGGATGCGTCGTTTGCAAATATTTTCTCCCATTCTGTAGGTTGTTTTTTCATTTTGTTTATGGTTCCAGTGTTATTTCTTGATAGTCTCCTTCCCATGCCCTTCACTTAAGTCAAACTGTACAACTATCCGTTCTTTATGGACGTCACACGATTTACCACACCGCATCCTTATCTCATCATATCCTGAGTTCAGACATGACCTTCTCCATGTAGCCTGCTCTAAACTCTCCTCCCCCACCACACACACACCTCTGAGGGTAAATCATCCCTCCAGCTCCTGAACCTCTTATCACTGTATTACCTCCCATAGTATTCATCAGCCTATAAGTTATTATAACTATGGATGTTTCTCATTCCCTGCTTATCCTGCGAGCTTCCTGAGCACATTCTCCATTTCTGACCACGGTTTTGTCCCCAGGGCCCCCAGCCACTGCTCGGTGGCCAATATGTTTGTCATACAAGTAAGTAGCTGCTTAGCCACATCATAGCACATGCCTAAACTCAAGAGATAAAATAGTAGCAGGCTATGGAAAACAGTTTGGGGTTTCCTCAGAAAGCTAAACATAGGATTATCCTATGGCCCACCAAGTTCCACTCCTTGGTATATACCCAAAATAATTCAAAACAGGCATTCAAATAAAGACTTGTATATGAATGTTCATAGCAGCACTATATACAGTACCCAAAAGATGGGGCCAACCCAAATGTCCATCAACAGATGAAGGAATAGGAAAATGTGGTATATCCACACAATGGAGTATTAGTCAGCCATAAGAAAGAATGAAGTACTGGCACCTGCTACAACATGGGTGAACCTTGAAAATATTAGGCAAAGTGGAGGAAGCCAGACACACAGGTCACATTTTATGATTCCATTTACGTGAAATATCCAGTATAGGTAAATCCATAGAGAGGAAGCAGATAGTGGTTGCCATGGGCTGGTGGGAGTGAGGAATGACTGCTTAGTGCGTACAGGTCTCTTCTGGGGGTGATGAAAACGTTTTGGAACTAGATAGAGGTCATGGTTGGACAATATTGAGAATGTACGAAGTGCCACTGAATTGTGGACTTTAAAATGGTTCCTTTTATGTGATGTGAACGTCACCTTGATAGTGGTTGTCATAGTGTTTTTAAAAAACAGTAGTATAAAGGCATTTCCCTTTTCCCTTCATAAAAACCGAGCTGATTTTTTTCTAATAAGATGGTATAATATTTTATCCCAACTATCAACAGATCCTAGAATGGATGAAGTATGGGTTTCACCTCCACCACAATCCCCTCCTTACTCCAAGATCATGTCGCCAGGGGCTGTTTCACGCCCTGAGAGTCACTGCCCACCTGTGGCGTCAGGTTCACCCAACACCAGCAGACACCTCTCCGAAAGTGGGGCCACCTTCCAGCTCCCGAGCCCTGTGTCCAGGCGCCCCACGGAGGAGACTGGCAGTCAGGCTCCACGGCTGCTACTGCTGAGGTTTAGGACAAGGATGGCCTTTTAATATCTTTGTCCAAGCTGAATTGTTCTACTTTGTCTCAGTTTTCCTGGAAGACGCTCCTTTGTTTTCAGAGGAGACAAGAAGCCCACCTTCTGTTCATCTTTGTTTTCAGTTCACAGGCTGAAGCTGGCTGACATCAAGGTCATCGGAGCCCTGGGTGATTCGCTCACGGTGAGTTACTGACAGTGGAAGGAAGGGGCAGGAGAGGAGACAATCTTGGTCAATAGGAGAATCTCACTCCTGGACCTTGAGCGTTGCCGTCTCTGGTCCCAACCTCAGTCCCTCCCCACCTCCATGCCCACCCTGGAATCCAGCATTCCCTGGCCCATCGTGTTTTCTCACCTCCATTCTAACCTCATCCTTCCTCTCCTAACATGGGAATGAAGGAGAGAGCAGGAAGTGGGGGGACCCCAGAAGGAGCCCCTGAAATGAAAGTAACCTAGCCCAAACCGCACAGCCTGTCGGTGGTGGGGTGTAGGGCCCCTTCAAAGACCCGGTGCTTTGTTTTGTCCATGTAGGAAAGCGAAGGGAAGGTCCCAAGGGCAATGGGATGATGGGACAGGAACGAGTACTAATGGGGGAGGGGTGAGAAAACCGGGGTCAGTGGAAAAGACAGAGGTACTAACGATGACCCAGACTACGTCTGCAGGTGGCTGTGGTGACCTCCCAGGCCCAGCAAAAAGCTATCCAGAAAAAGCAGAATCAGGTCCTTAGAGAGCCAGGGTAGGGGGGCTCTGAAGCTCTCGAACTTCAGGTCCACAGTGACTCATTACAGAGGAGTCCAGCTGCTGTTCTCTGGATCAGTAGAATCGAGGGCCTCCAGCTGAATTTTCCCCCAAATACCAGCTGACACCTTTCATGTCTGTGGCCTCTTCACATTGATATGATCTCACTCAATATCCTCAACGAAATCCTGGGCCATATGACTCTCCTCAAACTGAAACCAACAAAGGAGGTGAAGCCGGTTGAAGCGAAGTGAGTACCGCAGCCAATAGCTTGTAACTGCTGGGTGAGGACAGGACTCCCAGGTCCTGATTCTGAGGCCAGAATTCTTTCCCTGCCCTGTAGCCGTCTCCTCCACGACCCCTCAGGTACTCTTCACCCCGAAGGCCCTATGGCTCCTAACCTTCTGGGAAGGACAGGCAGCACTGCTCATCCCAGCCACTTCCTGCTGGGTGTGGCCTGACGCAGCTGGAAATGCCCTGGCCGTCCAGTGGTTAGGACTCAGCGCTTTCACCACTGTGGCCCAGGTTCTGTCCCTGGTCGGGGAACTAAGATCCCAGAAGCCGAGGCGTGGCCAAAAAAAAAAAAAAACAACAAAAAACAGAATCAGCCCAGCTGTTCAGGACTACCTGGGGAGGCAGCAAGGCTCCTCTCCCGGAGGCCAGCCTTCCCCACAGGCTGCCTGGGAGGCTAGCCCTTGGCATGACCTTTGGAATGGCTCTGCTGGGAAATAACGTGCTTTAGGCAACGGACGTGCACCTGCAGAGTGTGTCAGGGTGTGGTTTTAAAAGACCCCGCTCTTTCTTTAGCTGAGGAATAGGTACGTGGTGTTTCGTTTTAATTTTTCCAGTTGTACATATGTGAGACCTATTCACATCAAAGGATTACAGGATACTTCCCTTTCTGATACAGTTCACGACTTTTAAAAAATGAGGAAAATGGGGCCCTGAAATGTGTCCTCTGGAAAAGTGTACACTGCAGTATAATTTTCAGAGCGCTTCTGCCAGCCTAGGGTCCGGGCAGGTTTTCTTAGGGTGAGGCTGCCCTTGGAGGGCCCCAGAATTCCCAGTGGGAAGTAGCACTCGTTTCTGACGAGGCAGGATGCAGGTCAAGACGTGGTGCTCTCAAGACGCTAGATTCTAAAGTGCCGGACATTCCGGCCCAGCCAGGACGAGAACACAGACCCTCTGGTGAGCAGGCAAGGAATTCACCCCCTTGTGGTTCCCTTTCAGGCAGGTAATGGGGCCGGATCCAAGCCTGGGGACGTCCTGGACGTCTTAACTCAGTATCGAGGTCTGTCCTGGAGGTAAGTGCAGGCGTGGCAAGGCCCAGAGACGCCCCGTCGCAGGGCAGGGGAGGACCCCTGAGCATGTAGAAAACAAGTTCTCTAGCAGAAGGATGAGTCAACCTAGTGCTTTTCCACGAGAAATTTCTAGGTTTAATTTAAGGAAGGTATTTATCAGCTTCCCCAAACCAGATATTCCCCCAAAACAAGCCAGGACCTGAGCAGGAGCTTAGGGGAAAAACTACTCAGACGTTTGGGTTGGAAAAGTTTGGGCTTGCCTTTCTCCCTCTGGGCAGTCACCTCAGCAGGAGGCAGCAGCCTTCAGAACCCGGGTTGTGTAGGAGCCCCAGCTGCCCGCTCTGTGTGACCTTGGGTAAGTTATTCAACCTCTCTGAGCTGGTCTCATCTTTGACGCAGAGACAATAATACTGCCTTAGCATTGTCGCGAGGCTTACAGAGAATTTAAATGCCCAGCACCGTGCCTGACACAAAGGTAGGTATAAATGGTAGCTGGGATCATTATTAAAGGGCCTTCATTTTACAGATGATGAAGCACGGCTCAGAGAGGGCAAGTAACCTGTCCAAGGTCACACAGTCAGATGGTAAGAGAGCAAAAAGTAGAGTAGATGACTCCTGACCCCTAATGCAGCACGTCCCCCATCGTGTATGTTTTGTGCAGGCTTGTTCCTGCTCTGCCTGTAATCAAACCCAGGCGGCCCCAGGCTGCGGGGAGCAGCGCTCCTGCTTCACCTCTGCTATGAAAGCCCAGCTCATGCCAAGCAGGAGAGGGCAGGTTCGGTGTTCCCTCAACCTGGAATCCAGCATCTCTGGCACCAGCTTGAACCTGAGCGTTGAATCCCTGGCATCCTCCCTGGCGATGCTACACAGAGTTAAACCCCAGACGTTTTGAGAACCTTTGAAATGTTCCCAGACATACTTGGCAGAGAATGAGGGGATATGGAAAAGTAGGGAATCCAATCAACTCTGGAATGCTGCTTATTTTCATGCCTAGAAACCCATCCAACTTTGATTTCCTTGGAATTTTAGAAGCGGCTCAGAAGATGGGTTGCTCTCTAGAAGATACCCTTTAAAAACCGGGTTTTCCCCAAGCCAAACAGGACGAGAAACATGAAGGCAAACTTTTTTTTTTTTAAATAATAATAATGCACAGCTGCAGTGGCTAGTCGGCGCTGGGCTGGGCTCTGCCTCCAAGGAAGGGCTGTTTCCCCTTTGGAAGATGGGGCTGAAGAGGCCCACTTAATTCCCCTGCCTCAAGGTCAAAGCTCAAAGTCAGCCATGACGGTTTAAGCCAGTTTTTTGTTTGGACGTTCTGGTTTGTGGGGCAAAGGAGAGAGAAGTTACTGTATTCTGGTTTTTCAGTTTTTATACAAAAATAATGAGGAAAGGGCAAGCTCCAAGCCCCCAGGGCGTTTCTCAGAAGGAGCAAGGTCTGTCTTGGTGGTGTCTGAGGTGTTTCAGCGTCGCTGGCCGTTTTAACCTTCATTTTCTTTCTTGTCCCCACGACGACGCAGCGCGGGCGGCGATCAGAACCTCAGCAGCGTCACCACCTTGCCCAGTAAGTACGCGCTCCCGGGGGTCCGGGGCGGGCTCGCCGCCGCCCTGCGCGTTTCTGCAGCTCCCCCTGGCGACGGCCGCGGGCTTGGCAGGGAAGGGTGGCAGGAGACAGCAGCGTTCGGCAGGGGGCGCTGCTTCCCCGAGGCGGTCGCCCTGCTCTGTTGCTTGAGAGCGATTAAAGCCTTTTTTTTTTTTTTTAAGAGAAATTGTATTTGTCCGAGGAAGGAAGAGAGTAAGAGGGAAAGAATGCTGAGGCCAACCCTTAGTGCAAGTTATTATTAAGAAATGATTGAAGAAGGAAATAAAGGAAACCCATGTTTGCTTTGCCTGTCATTCAGAGCAGAACACCTTTCGGGGAGGCGTTGATCTAGGCTTGGGCTGTATTACGCACCACTGCATACAAAGACGTTGAATTCCTGGTGTTGGTTTAGGAAACGCTGCTATTGCAGCAGTGATGATGAAATTACCTTGTTCAGGCTCTGCAAACACAGCCATATTTGGGGTGCAACCTTTTCTTTAAATTACTTCATCAACAACCTGTTCGGAATGATTTTTTTTAAGCCTGACTACATTCTTTGAATGGTCTTATTCATCTTTTTATTCTCCTTAGTGCATGCACAGTGCTTGTTCTTAAAGTACGCGTACAAAAAAATGTTACAATTGAATTATTTTCCCTTAAAATCTTCTGGCTAACGATTTTGCCTGAGAGAAGTTTAATCGGTCCCATTCTCATTTACTTTTCTCGTAATTATCCCTCTGTAATATATCTTTAGCAGCTAAGAAATTATTTGAGCTTTAAGTCACCAAGACTTTGATGATAAAGGTGGTTTGATCGCCACATGGGCAGAACTGGTTGGATTTCATGCGTGTTATCTGTTCTTGCTATTTGCAAATCCTGTTGATTTTAAGTAGGTACAGTTCTGTGGCACGAGTACTTCCCATCTTCCTTATTTCTAGGTCCACACACAAGAGCTAGGAATAAGCTCCGCCATCTCTAGGAGATGATTTGGGTTGCTTTTGCTTTTTTCTCTAAATATGTAATCGCTTTACTGAGATATAATTCACATAACATAGAATTCACCAATTTAAAGTACAATTCAATAGCTTTTAGTACATTCATACAGTTGTGCCACCATCACCCCATAAACTTTAGAACATTTTCATCACCCCCAGAAGAGACTCCGTAGCCACTAGTGGTCCCTCCCCATTTCTCCTGGGCTATGAGCTGGGCCAGCATACACAACTTGCTGGGCTCTCTGATTCCCATGCTATTGTGGTTGATAACATGATTGGAAATCATCTGACTCAAGATCTTTCACTAAAATGATTTATAAAATATTAAGACAGCGTCATCTGGGTGGACGCCCTGACACGCTTAGCCCAGCAGTGGAACATTGCCTGTTCAGACTTCCTTACCAGAGTTGTGAAGACAGATTGGCTGTAGGGACTGGATAATCCATGGAGAAATAATCACGTGGCAATGTGTTGGAAAACTTATGAGAACATAGGGTCAGAACAGAACCTCAGTTCAACTCCCTATTCAATGTAATCCAGCAAATACACCCATGCTGGGTGCTTGGGAAACAGGAGAATGAGGTGAGGTCCCTGCCCTGATGACATCACTGAAGTCTCTTTAGGGACACGTCTCCCTAAAGACAGACATGTGTACCAATAATTATAGCCATGTACAAAGTTTAGGGGAAAATAAATAAGAAGGCTGTTACCCTGCCTTTTGAAAGAGGGCTTTAAGAACTGGAATTCATCAGATAAGAAAAGGGGATTGAATGTTCCTGGCAGAGGTAACTGTGTGCACCAGCAAGTTCTTGTCCTGTCCAATGAGTAGTGCCTTCTGTGACATTCCTGATAGGTACCTAGCTAGCCAATGCTGGATGCTTCCAGTAATGGGGAGTCTGGGACAATCCCTTCCATTTTCAGATAGCTCGAGTGATCTCGCAGCTCTTCCTTCTACTGAGTAGATCAGAGTAATTGCCATCCATTGGTACGATGTCCCCAGAGCCACAAGGAATGAGTTCAATCCATCTGTGTTGTGTAGGCCCTGTAGCAGTGCTTGGTTGGAGAGAGTGCTCTGCTGGATGGCATGATGCCTGAAAGTCCTGACTGACACCTAGCCAGTTCCTTTCCCACATCCTAGTGGATTGTAGGTCTGGGAAAGTACCCTCTAACACGAGCTGAGAGATCAGGTTCTAGCCTAGGATTCTATTCTTAATAATGTATGACTTTTAACAGTTCTCCTAACCTTTCTGAACTTTAAGTTCTTCTTAATTCGGTGCATAAACATTTATTGAGCCCATGCGAGGCTCAGGGGTGTACACAGACCCTGTCTCAGGAGTTTTCAGCCAAGCTGGGGGGGATTGCAGAGTGAAAAGTGTAGCTCCAGCATGGTAAAGGCATTAGAATGTGTGAGATTGAAAAGATGAACCAAATCAGCGAGCAATTAGACTGACCAAGGTGGATGGTGGGAAGAGAGCCTAAAACTCAGAAATGAAAGAGGAGACATAAGTATAGAAATAAAAAGGATTATGAGAGAATACGTTGAACAGTTGTAGCCATACAATGGAATATTATTTGCCAGTAAAAAAGAATGAAGTACTGATACATGCTAAACGTGGATGAACATTGATAACTTGCTAAGTGAAGGAAGCCAGTCACAAAGGACGTGTTGTATTGTATGGTTCCGTTTATATGAATGTCCAGAATAAGCAAACCCACAGAGATAGAAGGTAGATTAGTGGTTGCCATGGGGCTGGAAGAAATGGGGAGGGACCACTAGTGGCTACGGAGTCTCTTCTGGGGGTGATGAAAATGTTCTAAAGTTTATGGGGTGATGGTGGCACAACTGTATGAATGTACTAAAAGCTATTGAATTGTACTTTAAATTGGTGAATTCTATGTTATGTGAATTATATCTCAGTAAAGCGATTACATATTTAGAGAAAAAAGCAAAGCGCCCGAGAGCAGCACCTTAACCAGACTGGCGTTTATCCAGCACTAATTCATCGAGCGCCCTTGTGTGCCGCACACGTGGTCCGGCATCAGCCTGCTGGACGTTTTGTTTTGGGGGCCAAGCGAACAGTAAGGGTGAGGGCTGTGGGGCGGGCGCTCTGCTTTGTCGCCAGCACCCCCTGGCACTTACCAAAGGAATCTGAAGATTGCCTTGGGGCAGTGATGACGAACATCTTTTCCTTATATTTCCAGACATCCTCCGGGAATTCAACCCTTCCCTGAAGGGTTTCTCTGTTGGCACTGGAAGACAAAACAGTCCTGGGGCCTTCCTAAACCAGGCCGTGGCAGGAGCCCGAGCTGAGTGAGCAGTGGAGCCTTGCGGGTGAACCACACGGGTCCCCGGGAACCTGGTCGGGGGCTTAGCCTAGACCAGGGTGTATGGCTAAAGGCTCCGGATTTGGTCCAGGGGGAGGATCTGAGGGTCAAAGGCTGGACTGGGCGGGCTCTCTTGGGGGTGTCCTCTGCTGTGGGACGCGGAAGCCTGCTGGCTCACCCACCAACCGTGCCCTCAGGAGCTAGTCACCGTCGATTCTGATGCCAGGTACATGCTTTGAGCAAATTCCTTTGCCTCGTCTGTAAGCCTGATGTTCACATAAGACGCAGCCGTAGGTGGACTCACGGAGCCCCAAGTCTCACCACTCTGTCAATGCTCCGTCCTGCGTGTCACCTTCTCCTTCTTCCTCAGACTTGCTTTTCAGGAGGCTTTTTCAGGCTCCATGCTTTGCATCCTTCCTGGTTCATGGGAAGAGCACCAGTCCTGGGGCCAGCGGGAGTGGGGGAGTGTCTGAGTCTGAGCCCTGGTTTCTCCCCTGGCCTCTCTAAGCCTAGCCTCTAAGAGATGGGGCTGAACCTCTCCCATGGGCCGGCTGGGAGGCTCAATGCCGTGTTTTTTGGTGTGTTTTTTTAAACATCTTTTATTTCTTTAATGTTGTATCTATCTGTTTATTTATTGGCTGCGTTGGGTCTTCGTTGCTGTGCACGGGCTTTCTCTAGTTGCGGCGAGCGGGAGCTACTCTTGGTTGCAGTGTGCGGGTTTCTCATTGCGGTGGCTTCTCTTGTCGTGGAGCACGGGCTCTAGGCCTGCAGGCTTCCGTAGTTGTGGCACAAGGGCTCTAGAGCGCAGGCTCAGTAGTGGTGGCGCATGGGCTTAGTTGCTCCGCGGCATGTGGGATCCTCCCGGACCAGGGCTCGAACCCGTGTCCCCTGCATTGGCAGGCAGATTCTTAACCACTGCGCCACCAGGGAAGCCCTCAGTGCCATGCTGAAAGTGAAAGTTCTGGTGAGCTGTAAATAGCACAGACAGGGTGGTGGTCCCAGCAACAGTGCAGCAGGGCTGCAGGACCCACCTGGGGTAAACTGTTAGCGAGCAACAGGACCACTGAGTCGTGGGCCAGGGGCACTGGATGGAGGGTTCCAGAGAGCGGGGTCAGCTTTCCTGGGTCCTACAGCTCCATTTCTCCCCACCATCCCAGAACCCTGAGTACTTCTTTGGGTTTGCTGCCAGTCAGAGAACCAGTGAGTGCCACATCCAATGTAGGAAAAATAAATGGAAAGGTCCTTTTTGTTTGTTAGTCCTCTATTTCTTCCAGAACAATCATGAACTTTACTATGTAGTTCCTAGGGATTCCTATGTTTAGGTTCCTAGATCCCCGACATCATTCTCCCAGCTCTCAACACCATCCTGAATCTACGAGTCCCTGACTAGAGTAAATCTTATTTATTCAGGACAGGAAAGGGGACAGATTATCTGAAGCAGAGATCATACAAAACCTAATAGGTTTTATAATGAATTCGGTGGCTTCATTTTCCTTTTGGTGGGGCGGGGGTGAAAGGCTACAGATTTACTGCTTAAAATTTTAGGCTTACGTTAATATTACCTTAATCTTGCTTTTTTCCAAGCATATTTCAGCTGGTGGTGTAAGAGGAGAGGCAGTTCTAAGCATGATTAGGTCAGGAAGGCATCCAAGAATGAAAGCTTAGCTGAAAGCATAAATGTAATGAAAAATGGAGTGTGATTCACATGGCCCCGGATTTCTTCCCTGATTTCCCCAAGGCCTTGGGGCTCGTTCGTGTGAGTCATTTATTTGTCCAAGCATGTCCTGTGTTGTAGGGAAGAGTTGGGGATTATTATTCCAGATTATTATTACTATTCCCATTACAGATGAAGAACCTGTAGCCCAGAGAGATGAAGTGGCCTGAACAAATGCCTTATCTCGACCACGTGGTCTGTCATCTTTGTGCCCCAGGCTTTACCACAGGTCCACTAATGACCCTTCATGTGTATATAGCCGTGTGCAGTTACATAGTACCCTCACGTTTGTTATCTCTTGTGTTCTGAACAGTAACTGTGAGATGGACAGAGCAGAGGCTCAGATGCCCATGTTTTCTGAATGATGATCTTGAGGCTCAGAGCGGCCAAGTAATCATCCAAAACTCTGGTCCGTAGAAAGAACAGCAGCCCTGCTAACTTCAGAGCGATAGATGAGGAAACTGAGGCTCAGAGAGGTGAAGGGGTTTACCCAGAGTCTCCACCCAGGTGATCTGATACCTAGCCTATTATGACTAAGAGCAGGCCAGTTGGGCTAATACTTAAGAGAGGAAGAGGGTGACAACTAATGTTTCCTGCTGAGTCCTGTGCCAGGGACTTTAGTGATGGTGATGGTGGTGATGGTGACGATGGTAGAAATAATTCAATGGGTTGTTTCTAATATGGATGTTTACCGTGTGCTCTTTTAAGTTCTTTCTGGGCACCTTATTTAATTCACCCAACATCTCTGTGAAGAAGGTATGCTTGTCATCCCCATCTTCCAAAGGAAGAAACTGAAGGTTTGCAAGGTTAAGTACTTTGCCGAGGTCTCACAGCTGGTCAGGGGTGGAAGCAGGATTCAAACCCATCTACTAAGACCCATTAAGATGGGGGGGGGGGCGGTTATCTCCTATCTTTTGGATGAGAATTTAAGTCACATTCCCACAGTTAGCAAGAGGCAACTAAATGTCACACCCAGGTGTGTCTGACTCAACCATGTCACGTTGAAAGTGAGGGCACCCTTGCGGCTGAGGTCTTGGCACCTGCAGAGATAGCCATGTGTGGCATGGAACACTCATAGGCAGCCCTCTGTTTGTCTTGAATGAGCCTGGCTTGGAAGAGAAAGAAAACTATGAACTCCAATACGCCAATCAGAAAACAGTCCCGCTAACAGTCACCCCCTCATATGTAGGGTGCTCTGCCCTTCCCAAGGCACACTCACGACTCCCACCCCCAGCAGAGACTGAGTGGGGAAGGAGCTGTGTGACAGGGCATGGTCTTCAGTCCAGTTTTCCTGCTACATATTCCCGATTTCTCTGCTAAGTCCCCTCCTGACCCCGGCTTCACAGCCCCCGCTGGTCACATGACTTCTTCCTGTGTGTGCCTGCAGGGATTTACCTGTTCAGGCCAGGAGGCTGGTGGATCTGATGAAGAATTACGAGGTAAGTCTAGGGGAGGTGGCACCTGAGACCACTTGAGGTAGGATGCCCAGAGGAGGGAGTGGGTGGGAGGATCATAGAGACAGAGAGGGTCAGCTCTGGGGTGGGGGTGGGGGGGACAAGGCACATGGGAATCCAGAGAGGCCACCTTTAAAACAACAACAAATGATTTAGCATCTGTGACCTCTGACCTCAGGACCCACAAACCAAAGAGCAGAAATGATTAATGTCCCCACTAAACCCTCCTGTGTGTGAGGACCCATCCCTACAGCATTCAGCTCTTTGTATTTTCCTGGACTTGACTCTGGAGCAAGGCTTTTACTTGTTTGTTTCCTGTTCATTTCAGGATATAAATTTTCAGGAAGATTGGAAGATAATAACCCTGTTTATAGGAGGCAACGACCTCTGTAATGTCTGCAAAGACCCGGTAGGTCTCCAGGCCCTCACCCAGGACTCCTCTGGGAAGGATTTCCACCCCGGGTCGCTGGAGCAGTGCAGCTGGGTTGGGACTCGGCTGGCAGTCGGGCATGGACCCAGCCTGGGCAGTGTATCCGGGGCCACACAGACACCGAAACACAGGCTCTGTCTGTGATGAACTCACACTGCCAGGGCAGGGAGGTACAGACAACTCACCATCCTGAGGTGTTTCTAGAGCTGGTCTGGGGTCAGAACTGCCGTGGGATTTGGGGGGCTGGGGGAGGGAGGGGCGGCGTCAGAGGTTTACAGAGAGCAGGAGACTTTCCAGCTGGGCCAGACACATGAGAAGCTTTGTCGGTGGTGGGTCTAGCTGTGGCCTGGGAGCACCTGTCCCAAGGGGTGACCCTGCCCGCCAGACCCCTCAAGGCCTGTCTTCCTGGCATCAAAGTCACCAGGGTCTGGGGGTTTCAAGCTACAATGCGAAGGGCCCACAGTGGGGCCTGGGGGCTGCTGGCTGCCAGGGTGGGGCGGGGCGGGAGGTGGGACCATGGGTCCCTCCCCCACTTCCCTTGAGGCTTTGATCCATTTGGTAGAGCAGGCTCTTGGCTAAATTTCATTCAGACACTGGGTTCCACTGCTCTTTTAAAAAGTTTGAAGACCACAAGTATCGAGATCAGGGGAAATCACCATTAAAATGTATTTATGCTTGGTGGGGGGGTTTGCAGGACCCTCTTCCCCTCTCATAATCTCCTTACGTGATTTGATCGAGCTTTCGCTTCCCAGGCACTTGAGGTTCCATCAGAAGTGATCAGCCCCTAGGACCAAACAGTGTTCAAGCTGTAGGAGATCTTAGAGGTCCCCTGCTCCGACACCCCAGTTTAGAGGGGCCCAGAGGTGTGATGTGCTGTGGCGAAGGCCCCACATCTAGTTGACGTGAAGTGGATCCAGAGCTTTCCGTAGCTCCATGCAGAAGAAAGAGTGTTTCCCTGAGGGTCACAGCCTTCACCTCAAGCCTGAGGACCGTGGGGTGAGGGTGGAGGCGAGGGCCCCAAAAGATAGCCTGTGTTTCAGTGTTGCCCATTCTGCCTGAAATACAGGGAGGAGGGGACCCAGGAGAGGAAGTGGTCCTGGTCTACCGAGAGGTGGGGCGATGAATGGGGTTAGAGACATTTCCTCTTCCTGCAGGTCCGCTATTCTCCACAGAAGTTCGTGGACAACATCGGGAAGGCTCTGGATATCCTCCATGCCGAGGTACAGAGGCCAGGCCACACGGCCTCTGGGCAGCTCAGCCGCAGGCTTCCTCCTTGGGCCTCAGTCTTAGCCTGGAGGCAGCTCTGGCTTCCTGCGGAGACCTCCCTGCCAGGTCCGCTTCTCCTGGAGACCAGCGCAGACCGTGCTGTCAGTCCTGGCCCCAGCAGCCTGAACATATGCGTCAACAGGGAGCTGGGGGTGGGGCGGGGGGGGGAGAGGGGTGAAGGCTGTGGCTGGGGCCAGATGAAAGGCCACAGACCTGAAACCCAGCAGGAGACACCGGCCCCAGCCCCAGGTGAGAGGCTGGAGCAGCCTGGCCTCGATCCTCCTGGGGACGGACCTTGCCTTTGCTCAGGTGCCTCGGGCGTTTGTGAACCTGGTAAAGATCCTGGAGATCATCAGCCTGAGGGAGCTGTACCAGGAGAAGAATGTCAGCTGCCCGCGGCTGGTCCTCCGGTGAGTTGGAAGTTCTCCCCCTATTCCTGAAAAAGCCATGGGACCCTCAGCAGAGAGTGACTCTGGTTAGTTAGAAAAACCAAGGGCAGGAGTGTGAGGAGTGTGAGGAGTGTGAGGAGTGTGAGTGCTGAGACCCCGTGGTCTAGCCTGGAGGAGACACCCCAGGACAGCCTTCCCGTACCCTCGGAGTTCATGCGTTTGCAACCCAACGTGCTGCTATTGCCAGACAGCTCAGGACGCCCTTCGGTCCTCCAGGGAGGGAAGAATAAAACATGACGGATGGAACGAGCCTCTGTGGGCCAGTCTCACTGGCCACCGATAGGGCCTCCTTCTAAGTGTGCCCTGCCCCCTCCCAGAGGCCCAGCTCCAGGACAGAAGGGGCCTCTGTTCAGCATGGGTGCTCCAGGCTGGGCATTCAAAAAGATAGGGCTATTGTCACTTTCTAAAAGACAGGGTGGTCAAGTCAGAATCAGCATGGTCTAGAGGACGGTCTTATCCCCCGCCAGCAAGAGCCCGAGCCCTGGCCCCGAGAGGCCGCCTTCATGCCCAGCCTTCAGAGCCAAAGATGGCTCCCCTGCTAATGTTACCCAGGAGCCTCAGGAATAAGACGTCCTTCTACCCCAAGCGTGAACCGTTCCTTCCTGCGAGGTCGCCTCCGGACCATTAGCCCAGATCACAGTGGCTGTGCCCCCCACCCCCTTTCTCCCTTCCCCAGCTCTGTAGAGGCCTCCACCACTGCCCTGAGCGCATCACGGGATAATGGCCCGTGTGCCTCTCCCCCCAAGCCCTGAACTCTGTGTCCGAGTCACTGCCAGCACGGTGTAGGGGCTCTGTGGCTGTTTGCTGAATGACTGAATGAATAATTCACAAGGGCCAGATTTGCTCTGGGAAGTGAAGGGGTATCTGGGCTGTTCCCCGGAGATCCATGCCAAACCAGCCCTGGGGGCCTTGACTGACAGGTCCCCTGCGGAAGGCCTGGGGATGCTGTGGGCAGCGGGAGGATGGCTGCAGGGTGACACATGCCTGTTAGCACAGCTGGTGTCAGGCGTGCTATTTTCGGCTGCTGACTCATCCCCTACTCCCACTCTCTCCAGTCACTGGGCCCCACGGGGGGTTCAGCTTGTTCATTCCGTTTCAGAGCAGCTCACCCAAAAGTCTCTGGCTGTCCATCACTGCAAGGTCTTTAGACAATTAAAGCTAAAGGTTCAGAGTCCAACCTGGAATGGCCAAGTCCCTGGCTGTGGGGTTAGGAAGACTCAGGGTCACCTTGTCCTGCCACCTCTCCAGTGCCCCGCACTCCCTGGCTCTCAGCTGTCCTGCCTCAGTGGCTGTGCTTTCCTTGGTGGCCCTGAGTCTACGCTGAGCCATCCTCACTATTATCACCTCCTCCCCCTGGACCAAAAGCCCAGATCTGCAGGTTGGCTAGTCAGGGCAGAGGTGCGGACTGGACAGAAGCAGCTCAACTAGGGATTAAGAGCTCAGGTTCAGACCAGGCAGACTTGAGTTCAAGTCCTGGCTCCCACACTCAGCATCCGTGTGACCTTGAGAAACTACTTAACCATGCTGAACCTCAGTTTTCTCATCTATAAGATGGGGATGATGAAAATACATCTTCTAGAATTGCTAAGAGGATTAACCAAGTGAATACCCATAAAGCTCTTCGCACAGTAAACATTCAGTGTGTGTTAGCATTGTTATTATTGTTGTCACTGTTATTTAAAGGAGGCATGCCTCATCTGTACCACACTGTTATCGAGCATTCATAAGGTAACGCAGCTCCGTAAAAGTCACTCCTGCAGGTGTCAGACGACGTAACTACTTCATTTTCATGGGCAAATCCAGGTCTGGGAAATTTTCTTCACTTCCATCTGGTACAGTTGACAGGTTAGCCAGCCAGGGCCCTGTTAGCACAGGCTTCTGGTACCTCCGAGTTAAATATATTCTGAATCTCAAGCCAACGCTTCTGCATCGTGCACTCAGCCGGGGGTCCTGGTGGATGGGGCATCTCTTTGGTTTGGCCTGCAGGAAACTGTGTCCCTGTGTCTTGAAGTTTGATGATAACTCAACAGAACTTGCCTCCCTCATCAAAGTGAACAAGAAGTATCAGGTAAGCCGGGAAAGGGCTCCAAGACTGCACAGCAACTGCTGTGTGGTTTCATCCCTCTGCTTAGAAAACCAACAGACACTTAGGTTATGTTGACCCCGACTGTGTGTGATGTTACCACTGACCAGTTTGCAGATTTTAATACTTCCCCCTGCCCCCCGCCGCAAGACAGCAGGTTCAATGTATTTGATTCAAGTTACAGAGCCGAGTCACTGAACACACGTCACCAAATCTCAGTTCCCGGCCTTACACGAAAATGAGTATTTCCAAGTGTCCACGGAGAATGAGTATGAGGCTCTGACTCCTGGGGACGGGGTTGGGGGAACTCTTGCCGCCCAAGAGAGTCTGGAGGATTCAGTGAGAGAACATGCATTCCCTCTGCCCTCCCCTTCAGGGGGGAACAGGTGTTATTGGGGTGCACAGGGAGAAAGAAAGTCAGCAGATGCTCTCCCAACATCCTGTGGGGTGTTCCTTTTAGGCCTTCCTCCATCAAATCTTTGACCAGAGCAGCTGACTCCCTTGACTTTCTTGAGTTCTCCCCCAAATAATCATCCAGTCACTCGAGAGAGCAGTGGTAGTCTCCCAGCTCTTCTGAAGGGGGCTGCAGACAGCTTCCAGGGTGCATCCATCCTTCAAGTCCATGGACTCCCTGGAGCAGAACCCTTCCCTGCAGCCTCTTTCAAGGCAGCCGTATCTGCCAGCAGTGTCAGTGCTCAGGGGAATGAACCTCTGTTCATCGTCCTCTGAGGCCATCCCCCAGCCCTGTGGGTGACTCCCCAGCTGCACTTCCTTCTGCCGTGAGCAGGTGCCTCTGTCTCAGGTGGGAAGCCCATGCCTCACCAGGAGAGGGAAGGCAGCCGAGGTTATGGCCACGAAAGCAGACCTTTTCCAGGTGCGGTTTGGGTGCAAGCAACAAGCGCTTATGCGATTCTGGTTAATTTATTATTTATTATTAATCCAGATGTATTATTTAAGCAGAATGCCTGGAAGAGCTAAGGTCAGAGGCCAAGCCACCAGAAATGGCAAGTCTTGGAATTCTAGGAGCCAAGCCATGAGAATAAAAGTCAGGCCAAGGAACTAGTCCAGTGGAGACACCCTGGACACCACTGTCACTGCTCTTCCAGGACCTGGATGCAGCTGCCACCCCCAGCAGAATGGATTCTGTGCTGTCCCTCTGCCTTTCTATCGCTAGCTTCCAAACCAAAGCCTGAAGCGGGAGCATCTACTGGGGGACACGTGGGCACGTGTGAAGGGCATTGGGAAAGCCAGCATCTGGGTTTCTCACCTTCTGCAGTGCAAGTCAGGCTGGTCTTCACACAGTGGATTTTTTTTTTTTTAATATAGGAAGTGGGTCCAGATGCTGGGCAACTAAAGAGAAGGAGGACTATTCACAAAAATGGCCTTCACTGACCTCTGTAGATTGGCCAGCTGTTGTTCCCAGGTCTGATCTTTGTTACCATGGAGACCCTGATCTAGCATCCTGGACAAGCTCACAGCTCAGCCACATGACGCCGTCATGCCCTCTCTCTGAATCCTCTGACTCTCTACTTCCTGCTGAAGCTATCATTCCATCCTTCTCCTTGGAGGTGCTCATTGCTGTTAATAACCACCATGTGCTAGGCATTCTCCACACTATTTCCTTTATTTCTCAAGAGGTGCGAGGCTCCACTGTGAGCCATTATGGCTGACCCACGGAGGCACTAGCAGCCCTGAAAGGGACTTAGGGATGGCCCAGGCCTCGGTGAACATCCTCCACTTACAGATGAGGAAATAGAGGTCCAGAGAGGGAAAGCATCTTGCTGAAAGTCACACACCTAGTTAGCGGTATTGCACCTTCTGCCTTCCTCAAGGCTCTGCGTGTAACTGGAAGAGACTCCCCCCAGGAGGTCAGAGGTGAGGTATCCCCAGCATGTGGACTCTTTTTCTGGCTGACCCTGGAAAAAGACGGTGTTCTTGATGTCATGATGTCTTCTGAAGTGACTGCTGTAATGTTCTGGGTGTGGAAGCCTGACTTCCCCCCCCAGCCAAGGTCCTGGTCCAAATGATGGAAACCCGGCAAGCAGTGAAATGGCAGAGTCTGGGAGAAGTGGGAGCCAGAACTGGGGTAACTCGTCCTTCTGGAACTGAGCCCAGGTGGAAGCTATGAAAGTAACAGCTCTGTTACCTCCTAGACGGATCTGAGAATCTCAAGTGTGCACACACAGGAGCACACGTGCTCACACTCACTTCATGCGTGAGTGATATAAATAGGCATTAAACGTCATTGTTGATTCACCTTTGATTTTCTGAACACATGTAGGACAGAAATAAATGTAAGTGTTCTCCAAAAAAGTCATTTAATCAAATTTGTACTCACCCCACTTCCACCCTAGTCTTTAATCAGAAGCTTTAAAAGAGGATCAAACTGATGGACTTGGATTTTTCTTTTTTCCCAGCCTAGGTCAAATAGATGCAAAGGCAGCAGAGGTTAGGGGCAGGGGTTGAGATAAAGCCTGATCTGAAAAGTAGCTGGCTCCTGCCTGATCAGTTGGGATTTTGCTGCAGGTTGATTTCACTCAAAAGTCAGACTGTTTAATTCTGCAGTGGAGAAAGAGTTCCCAAAGACCGGGCAGATGCAGAGAGAGTCTCCTGACCCCTGTCCCCCTTCCTCCTGCAGGAGGGGACTCACCAGCTGGTCGAGAGTGGGCGATATGACACAAGGGAAGATTTTACAGTGGTCGTGCAGCCGTTCTTTGAAAACGTGGCGATGCCAAAGACCCCGGTAGGGCCTCATGTATAAGTGGGAGCCATAGGTGTGCCCAGCTGTCTGAGCACCATTTGTGTTATGCGACGTCCCTGTAACACAGCCCCTCTATTCTGTCCTGTGACCAGGAGGGGTTGCCTGACAGCTCTTTCTTCGCTCCTGACTGTTTCCACTTCAGTAGCAAGGCTCATGCCCGCGCAGCCCAGGCCCTGTGGAACAACATGGTAAGAGGACCGAGGTAGGAAAAATTATTCTCCTTCTGATAGGAAAAAGATTCCAGGAAGCTTTCAGAGGCCCATCACTCAGGCTGTGTGATTCCCTGCACAGCGGTGACGATAAAGCCCATGTCCTCCGTCCCGCCCTCCCTTCTCCGGCCTCGCCCTGCATCCTGGCTTTTCCATTCTTGCCACCCCTTTCTCACTCTGCATCCTCCTGCTCCTTGGTTTAGCTGGAACCTGTCGGCCAGAAGACAAGAAGGCATAGGTTTGAAGACAAGATCAATATCACGTGTCCCGACCAGGTACGGTGAAGAGTGCAGCCTTGCCAGGGGTCTACCTAAAGCCCCTTTCCCAGCCTTTCGAAGTCTCTCATTAACGTTTCTCAGTTCCTTCCATCCCAGCTTCTCACCCCCACCCCCAGCTCTGTTCACCTACCCACCCATTCCAGACTCCAGTTAGCCATCCACAGTGCCCCATCTGATTGGGCCGTGAAAGGTGATAGCCAGTGGCCGGGAGACCCTAGAGCTCGCCTCTGTCTCTCCATGTCCCAGCGAGCCCTGGCATAAGTCTGCACACGGCTGTCTCCAGCTGGGCAGAGGGACATGGCAGGACCAGCCAGATCTCATTTTGAAGGCCAGGGGTGGGGAGGACCTCAAGGACGGGAAGGGACAGAGGATACCCCATCTCCACAGAGCCACTGTCCCCATGGTAGGATGGAAAGAGTGAGGGGCTGAGACCTAGAAGAATATCTTCTAGGGTGGAGGTGGGGTTTGGGGGTGGGAGGTCCATTGGAAGCCGGAGCTAAGAAAGCAGACATTCAGCAGAAAGGCAAAGCAGATCTCCGAGTTCATTCACAAATGATCAGAGAGATTCTTGGACCTTTGCAGCTGCTCCCTCACCTCTGTCAGTTCCCCTAGATTCCCAGAGGGGTCCCAGGCCCGGCACGGGAACCCACTGATCTGGGGCTTGCAGGGGGCAGGACCTCAAAGCGCCTGGCTTTTCTTGTCTGGGCGGGAGGCGCCCAGGCTGCTGCAGGGCGGGAGTGGCATGGGGTGGGAAGGGGTCCTGCGAGTTGGGGACATGCTCTTGTATTAGCAGAAAGGGAGGCTCTGCTGGGAAGGGGCAGCGTGGGGAAAGAGAGGTGACCCAGCCACCTCAGCCAGTTGGGTGGGAGGCAAAGAGCAGAGGTGCTCCTTCCTGGGAGCCGTGCAGGGTTTATTCCGGTTGTTCAAGAGGTTTGCAGAGACGGCCGGGTACGTCCTGGGAGGGAGCCCAGGGGTCAGGCTGGTGGCAGGGGGCTTGGGAACGTGGAAAGTGTTTCTGCGCACCGGAGCAGAGCAAGAGGCAAGTCAGCTTGCTGCGGTGGCTCACCCTCCCGCTTCCCCTCACAGGTTCGGCCATTTCTGAGCACCTACAAGAACGCTGTGCAGGTACCCGCTTGTTGCTTCCTTTCGGCTCAGCCGCCAGTGCAGTGGGCGGCCCCCGAGCTGGGACCAGCCCTGCAAGGCAGGGTGGGAATGTGGGCAGGTGTTCCCGATGGGCCGTCGGGGGGATTCACACTCTTCTGTGAAGTCCATCCACCTACACCTTCAGACAGTGGGGAGGGCAGAGGAGGAGCCATTGATAACAGCACAGATAGGGGGCCAGCCGGTCAACTCTCAGCCTCTCCAGACGTAAGTCAAGAGAAGCATCCCTCTCACAAGGCTGCTGCAGAAGCAGGGCTGGCATGCGGTGGGCTGGGTCGTTTTGCTGATGCCCTGATGTTTACACTGGATGGTGGGGGCCGTGTGCGGGGGTCTGAACTAGGTTAGCAGATGGAGCCCAGCCAGATTCTCAGAATCACCCAGGGAGCCTTTTTCAGATGTCCTGCTAGGCCCTCCCCAGGGTAGGGCCCAGGGATCTGTGTTTGTTAAAGCTCTCTGGTGAGTCTGATGCCAAGCCAGCCTCTCTGGCCCCTGGCAACTCTGAGATTCTGGGATTCTTTCTACACCCCTAGGGTCACGGGAGCCAGCTGCTGTGCAGTGACAGAGCCCCTTCTGCCTCGCCGCCCACCTCAGGTGAGCCCCCTGTGGCACAGCAGGACCCAGGGCCCCTCCACAAGAACTCACTTATGGCCAGGGCTTGCTTCCTGTCTGGCTGGTCGCCTGGGACGAGTCCCTGCTTTGTCCCTGTCTTCTGTAGTGAAGTCTGACCCAGCAGGACCCAAGGCGGCCAGGGTCCTTCCGATTCAGCCCGCCATCGGGAGCACACGCGGAGTAGCCACAGGAGCGCCGCCCTCAGCGGCCCAGCCTGGGGTGTGACCTTGCCCGGGCCCGGAGGCGGGGTGTGTGGTGCCCAGGAAGGCCCCAGAGGGAGCCAGCTCTGCGGGTGGCCCTGCGGCCCCAGGCTCTGCAATCACTGCTGCTGCCTGCCATAGGGCTGGAAAGTTCTCTGGAGTCTTCGGAAGAGACTTGGGGGCAGGGAAAGACCCAACATGACTATTCCTCAGATTCTTGGTGGAAATCCAGAACCCAGCTCTAAATGGGCCGTGCGTCGGGCTCTGCACCGCATCTCGGATGGGCCAGCGGCCATTTGGTCACGCACTCAGGTCACAGCTGGTGTCCCACGTGACTGCTGGCACCAAAGTGGTGGGATCCCACTGTGCCCTAGCATCCCCTTCCTCCTCCCCGTCTCTCTCAGCACCTCTCCCTTCCCGTAGGCCCAGGATCGTTTATTGTGCCTCTGATGGGGAAACTGTTTTCATCTAAGCTCTGCCTCTATGGCGCCATGGACGCTCAGTCCTGCACAGCCGAACACACACGCGGGTCATGTTTCTGGTCTTGCTTAAAGCAAGAAGCCCTGGACTCTGACTGCAGCTTCCTTCGCACAGACTCAAGTGTGTCTGTTTGTCTTTCCAGTGCACACCCTGAGACCTGCAGATATCCAAGTTGTGGCCGCTCTGGGGGATTCTCTGACCGTAAGGATGCGTGGGCCCCACGTGGCTGGGGACGGCTGTGTCGGCTCCGGGTCCCCGTCCTCCTGACCCCAGGGCCTGCGCTCCTGGCCTCTGCATTATCCCACCCCTCCTTCCTGACTCTGTCAGTCTGAGTGCAGGACAGTGGTTTGGTGTGGCAGCCACTTTCTCCATCAGGTGTGCGAGGGGGACTCTTTTTCAGGAGCGAACTGAATTGTCTCAGGCAGTAGAGGTTTGGAACGCCTAATGTCACCATTTGAACCATTGCAAAAATATGTCATTTTGACTCAAAAACTCTCCTAAACCTAACGTGGCTGCTCTTTTCCCTTGGGATTATACCTTACGAGCAGCTCCAGCCTTCACATCCATTTCCTCTTTGCCTCTGCCCCAAAGCAGGAAAGGCTCCACAGCTGTGGCAAAAGCTCTGCTCTTAAGTTCCAAGAAATGGGGCCATTGTACCATCCCCAAACAGCACTTTCTGGCAGCACGGCCAAGGCCGTGAGATTGTCCTACAGAACGTCCCAGAGGGAAAGAGGAGAAATGTGCAGTGTATGAGAAATCTGTCCGCTGGGGCCCACGCAGTCTATGGGCTCTTCCTTCCTGCGTGTAAAGGACTTAGGAGCAGAATGCCGCTAATAATATTGTAAGTGTCTCACATTTATAAAGCACTTCAGAGGCTTCAAAACTGTTTTTGCAGCTATGATCCAATTTGCTCATCAAAACAATCCTGTGAGATGAGCAGGGCATGGCCTCAGCTCCGTAAGGAGGCAGCTGAGATTCGAGGAAGCCACGCAGCTGGGGAAGCAGCAAGCCCGGGCGTTCTGGCTCCCAGGGCAGCGTTCTGCTCACGCTACGTTGCGTGCGCGGAGAACACCTTGGGAAGCCCTGCATATACGCAGCCTCCCTTTTCTCTTGACTTGCTGATTTTCCTGTGGATTTTGATGTGTTTTCAAAGGCTGGCAATGGGATTGGCTCCAAACCGAATGACCTATCTGACGTCACTACTCAGTACCGGGGGCTGTCATATAGGTAATGTTAACCCATGACCCCCTCCCACCCCATGCTCACCCGCAGAGATCGGCCGGGGGTTTGTCTCCTATAAATGCATAAATACCAAAGAGCAAGGACCAGGTCTGGAGGGGGCTTTCAGAAGGAAAACCTATATATTTCTGCCAAATGTAACAATTTGGTGAGTAGAGAGGGTATCTTACTGCTAATAACCCTTTCCTTTTAATTGTGCAGAAGGAGCACATCAGGGTACTTATCAGACTTCTGGGTCAACAGATCCAACATGAAATGCACCAGAAAAGCACCGAATCTCTGAGTCTTCTGCGTGTATATGTGCACACGTAGATTCTCCCATGTCTCTTGTTTACTGTCTGTATGTATCGATTCATGTTGTTTATTCATGTTCTGTAGCCACACCTCTGCCTTTATGTACGTGCACACGTCTGTACAGAAAACTCCGAAACGCAGCACCCGCTTCAGGCAGAAACAACCGAGACAAAAGTCACAACCAATAGGCGTTGCCGAGCCCCTCCCATGTGCCCGTATGATGGAGGCGGGTGGGTGAGAGGAATAGATGGGAAGCACAGGCAGATGCTTATGCCCAGTTGGCAAGTGTTATTTAAAAATAAAAGATGCCTGAGTGCCACAGGACTATAGAAGAGGGAATACCCAGCCTTGCCAGTTGGGATAGGAGGGCTTCCCAGAGAAGGTGGTAGCCAGTTACGCCTTGGGAGATTAGCAATTTGGTAGGTGAGAAAGGGCATTCCAGGCAGGAGGTAAGAAAGCTTAAGACGTGTCAGGAAAGTGGTTGGATGTGGATATTCTAAAGTTTCTTTCTTTCCTGATAAAGTTCTTGTTTACGAACCCTTCACAGTCATCGGCGATTAGCTCAGGATTCAAAACCACTAGAACACGGCCTACCACAAGAGGGCAGAGCGCTGATGAGAGGCAGGACAGCTCAGTGCCGGCCCCCTCCCTTTCCTTCCGAGAGGTTCAAATGAAAGGTTTCTTCTAAGAAAGCGAGAGGGAACGGAGTGGGGACGACGAGGACGGTGCCAGAGAGAAAGTTTTTCCCGGGTGAGAGAAAGGCATCCTCACTCAGCCAGGAGCCACCCACAGAGAGGATCCAGGGCGTGGGTAGCGTGAGGACATCACCCCGCCTAGAGCTGAGCCAAAGGCCTCGCAGCTCCCGAGGTCCCACACACCCTCCGCCAGGTGGGGGGTCTCTACCGGGCTGCCGAGGGACAGAGTGGAGGTTGCCTCCTGACCACTGGGCCCCAGGCTTTACTGAGGCTGCAGCAGAGAGAAAAGCCAGAGGGAGAGCAGGAAAGCAGAGCTTATTACAGTCGAAAAAGCATGAGGTTGTGGCCGCTTTACTTAGTCTGAGCTAAAGAAGGCCGTGACCTCACATCCTAGTGTGGGAAAACAGAAAATACGGCAGACAAGCCAGCCAGCGATGACGCTGGTGTAGTCAGGGGAGTGAGGTGATCTGCCCAGCTCCGCAAACAGTTCAACTGCCCGGATTCCCGGGATTCCGATAGAGACAATCTTCTGCTAAAGGTCTCTCTCTGCAGCTGTGGAAAAATTCAGCCATTGCTCTTTGTTTCTTCCTATGAGTGAGGTCCAGTAAGGCCTGATGTTTCAATCTTCCGGTTCCAATTCCGAGGCCTTGTGTGCTCAGTGGCTGCTGTCCCTTTAAGCCCTTTATTCTAAATGTTTCAAAGACCTGCCCCAAGACCCGTGTGCGTTAAAGATAGGAGCTCTTCTTGGTCAGAGTCTGAGAGACAGTTTGACACTTGATGAAGTGGGTAGACTAGGGTTTCTCAAAGTGTGTTCCATAGAACACTAGCCCCAGTCTTTTATTTTGGGGAAAATATTTCCTACCATATCTTTCCTCGGGGGAATTCACATACATGTTAGCATACTGAAGGCTCTGAGAAGCCGCCCTACGTTGAAGAGATCTGTTTAAATTGTGTCTGTTGAATCCAGTGTTTCCCTTAATCCCAGAACTCTTTCTTTGTTCATAACTCTTTCTCTGTAAATGCCCATTAGCATCCCCTGGGAAATGTCCATGCAGTAGACTGATCTGAGAAAAAGCAATTTTCTGAAGCCATTAAAACTTCCGGATGGGAAGTATGAGGCAATTAATGGATTATAGGTAAATTAAGAATGCAAATCGAGCCTCTTCCTCCAAGGAAAGAAAGTGGAGAGAGCGGACCTCACAGAGTCAGACGGGGGAGAAGGATTTTTGGTAGGTGGGCGGCTGTGAGCAGGGCCTGCAAGAGGTTTGGCTGTGAATATTTCCAAGGCCCCTTGACCTGTAAGAATCACACAGCAGTGAAAGGCCCCAGCTCTGGGTAGCTTAACGGTGTGGTAGGCCCAGGGGTCTTTAGAGAATTGCCTTTCCAATTGAAATGTTTGCTTGGTTGGACTCATTCAAAGGACAAAAATAATATTTATCAAAAAGTGCATTTCTTTGCCTTATTAATTAGGAGGTCAGTCTCAGGTTATTGAAACTCCTCCAATAGATGTTATCAGGCATCTTCTCTGCATCTCTCCGCACACTATGGGTGACTAGGGAACAAAGCCCAGCCTTCGAGCTCATGGTGTCATACAAATTACATTAATCTGAAGGGTCTCGTGTAAACTAGCTGTTTCATATGGGTCTGTTTTCTTTCATGTTTCATACAGTTCCGATCAGAGCGAGGGCTTTCATATTTTTGTTCCTCCGTATTTATTTGTATAATGCTCTCTTTTCTCCTGGAAACGGGCTCAGAGAGATTTCTGTAGCCTATTGGTCTTGATCAGCTACCTCACTTGTTTTAGAACAAAGATAGTTTTAGACAAGAAATTACAATAGAATGTACTTGATGTGTGTGTGTTTACGTATATCTCTGTGTTTATATGTTGACTGAAGGAGAAGAGGAGGCAGAGTTAGAACACAGCGACTGGAGGAGGTATATGGCTTTGTAATTTCCTGCCAAGTGAAAAGTGTTCTGATTAAGTGCTTTTAGTCCAGAGAAGGATGGATCAGGAAGCAGCTGAAGTAGTAGCTTTATACAGAGTTGGGAAAGGATCAGAAGCGTAAAAAAAAATGCCCAACCAAAGGCCAAGTTAAGTTCAGACATTGGATGGAGGTAGGAGAGAGATTCCTGAGTGAGATAGAAAGGTAGGGCTTACCTGGCTTCTTTTTCTCTCCACCACTTGAGGTTCTTGAACCTTTGACTTAAGCCCCTGACCACCATAGTGTGAAATAGTCAACTTCATTCCAAGCCTTCCCTTGAATGAAGAACGGCCAAGACTTTGATTCGTGGCCTGTCCTTTGGAAGGTTCTACTGGTGGGCTGAAGGCTAACACTGTGTTCTCAAAATCTCTTGGCCTGGGATAATATGCTGGGACTGAGGAGGGAAGAAAGGAGGAGACACAGAAGAAAAATAACAGTAGATACAATACATCTGAACATTGGACTTTTTTCAAATAGAAATACTTTTCTCCTTGCCTCCCCCATGTATTCAATTTAAATGCATGAAAGGCAATGAAACTTTGTGTCTCTTGAAGTTAGATTGAGGGCCATAAAACTAGATGAGATGAGATGAAATGAGATCGGGCATCGGAAGGCAGTGAGAGGCCATCCCCCGAACCTTCCAGCGGGATTTGCCTGACCACTGGGCAAAGAAGAGCTTATCCATTTTCTAAAAGTTTCCAGCTCAAGCTGGTTTTTAGTTACCTTTATGGTTTTTAGTTTCCTTTAGAAAGTTGCTTAACCCCTGTGTGCCTCAGCTTCCTACTCTGTAAACTAGAGATAGTTCATCCTCATCACAAGCTTGTCTGTGGATTTGAGATAACTGATGTAGAGCATCTGGTTCGCGGCTGAGCTCGTAGTATATACTCAGCTAAGTGCGCTCCCTCCTGATTTGCTGGAGAAAAGAAGCAGCCACCTTTCAGCTTCAAATCCTGAATTTGGGGGAACCAACTCCTCGGGCAATTCAAATATTCTCAGAATCCCTCAAACACAGAGATGTCTCTGGCACACCTGGCAGGTACTGATGGCATGGGCATTGTTAAAAGCTGGGGGCGCTTTTTTGTAAAGCCTGTGTATTGATTCAGTCTCTCTCATTGGCTTTGTTCACTCTGTACAGTTCAGGAGGGGACGGCTACCTGGAGAATGTGACCACCTTACCGAGTAAGTAACCACCAGTGGCTTGAGGTTGTCCTCTGGGTCCATCTGACCCCCAGGCTTCCTGAAAAGTGCCTCTCCGCTAAGAAAGGAGGGAATAACATCTTCCTTGTGGACTGTCATTGAAATGAGACGAGAGGCCTGTGGACAGGTGGCTGAAGGGGATGGAATAAACTCTGTGTTTGGGTTCCGGAGACCTGGGTATGAGCCCTGACCCTTCTGTGTGCTGGCCGGGTGACCTGGGCCAAGTTACTAAACATTCTGAGCTTCAGATCTCCTCAACTGGCCCAGAGAGTGTGGAAATAGTCAAATGGGACAGTGAGTATTTGCTGCACTGTAAACTATAAAAAAAGAAAGAAAGAGGGCTCCCCTGGTGGCGCAGTGGTTGAGAGTCCACCTGTCGATGCAGGGGACACGGGTTCGTGCCCCGGTCCGGGAAGATCCCACATGCCGCGGAGCGGCTGGGCCCGTGAGCCATGGCCACTGAGCCTGCGCGTCCGGAGCCTGTGCTCCGCAACAGGAGAGGCCACAACAGTGAGAGGCCCGCGTACCGCAAAAAAAAAAAAAAAAAAGAAAAGATAGAAAGAAAAGAAAAACTGAGAGGCTCTTGTTGTCTTGGCCCAGCCTGTCACCAAGTCGTTTGAGGCCCCAACTCCTCTCAGGAGCACACTCTGCCTTCCATCCTAAGCCCTCTGTGTCCTGTGCACCCTTCCCCTTCCAGATATCCTTCGGAAGTTCAACGGAAATCTCACAGGCTATGCGGTGGGCACAGGCAACGCCAGTGACACAAATGCCTTCCTCAATCAGGCTGTTCCTGGAACAAAGGCTAAGTATGGCATTTGGGGAGGGGAGGGGGCCTGTCAGGTAGGGAGGGGGAGGCATGTAGTCCCCTTTAAGGTTGTAATTCTGACCTCTGAGTGCCAAGGGGACATTTATCCATTTGCAGCAATGATTTGAGAAGTTCTTGGCCACCCTCTTCTGTGGCTGCCCCGTGACCAAGGCCGCAGGGAGGCTGGAGGGCTGGGTCTTGGACAGAGGCCATGCTCCTAGAGCCTGAACTCCTGGCCTTGCTTTCCTGTGCAGCATGTTCTAATCATTCAACTAACGACCCACCTTAGCCAATTTTTAAAACTTAACCATGGCATAGTGGTACTCTCTACAGCACCTCACAAGTGGCAACGCCCCCAAAAGATCAGGGAGTACCAAGCAAATGGATGGGCAAGCCAGGATCTCCAGCCTCAGAGGCTACTTAGAGGGGCAGTAAGTCTTGTCCTGTCCCTGCTCCTGCTCTGGAGCTGCAGGAAATGCAGCTGAGAAGCCAGAGGCAGCTGGAGCCAACTGCTCAGCCTCCCGGGCTGCTCGTCCAAGGAGGCCCCTCACCCTGCTCCTAGAAGCCTCAGCCGCCTGGGTCTCCTTGCTCCTGGCCCAGCCTGGGAAGACCCTTCTTAGTAGTAGAAACGGCTGGGGACAGATGGACCCACCACCAGGCGCCAGGAGATGAACGTTCTGTGGCTCCATCTCACACTATAACAGGGACCTAAACTAGTGAGGAGCTGGGGATGCCTGAGGTCTGGTCTTTCTATGAATTCTAAACCCGAGTGTTTGTATGGTGTATATTTATTCCCCCACCTCTTTCTAAAAGAAACATGTAGCTAAGTTTGCCAAAAACGACACAACATATACATGAGAGAGAAAAATCCCAGCTTCTGGTGGGGGGAGGAGGGGAAGAAGCAACTGTGTCAGTATGAGCCTTCTTACGATTCTTGTGTCTAAGCATCAAACACTCAGCTTCCTGGCAGCCAGGGTAAAAAGAGGAAGCATGCCAAAACTTTCCTAGATCTAATTTCAGAATCTACACCAGTCCTTCAAAGGAGATGAACGGTTTCCTAGCATGGAACCTTAAGGACCCTTTGCATGTGGAGTCCTAGAAAGGAGACCATGCGTAACAAATATAATTGTCAGTACCCTTGACTGTTGTTTTAGGACAAACACACGACAGGCTTTGCAAACGGTTATTTGTTGTAAGAACTCTCCAGGAGAGGCAAGTAGCTTCTTGTCCTGAGCCTCAGGGTCTCTGCCAGCTCGTGGTGGCGGGGAGGGGTTAATGCCATAGAAACCTCCAGTTCAAGCCCTTTAGGATGAAAGGTCTGGGCGCTGTTCCTCAACAGGACTGATTTCCTCTCCTCCTCAGGGAACTTTCAAGCCAAGTCCAGACTCTGATACAGAAGATGAAAGATGACCATGTGAGTCAGATTTTTGGTTACTTTTACATTGCTTTTTCTTCTTTTTTCTTTTTGGCTGCCTCGGGTCTTCGTTGCTGTGCACCCGCTCTCTCTAGTTGTGGTGAGTGGCGGGGGCTACTCTTCTCCGCGGTGCATGGGATTCTCATGGTGGTGGCTTCTCTTGTTGCAGAGCACAGGCTCTAGGCACGTGGGCTTCAGTAGTTGTGGCTCGCGGGCTCTAGAGAGCAGGCTCAGTAGTTGTGGCGTGAGGGCTTCGTTGCTCCGCAGCATGTGGGATCTTCCTGGACCAGGGCTCGAACCCGTGTCCCCTGCACTGGCAGGCAGATTCTTAACCACTGTGTCATCAACGAAGCCCTATGGTTATTTTTAAACACTAACTTTCTGACCCACTAAAGTCCCCAAATGGAATTGTCTGCCATGAAACCAGTGAGCCTCCTGTCACTAGAGGCATTCAAGCAGCAGTAGGGCAGCCCCTGTCGAAGGCCCTCAGGAGATTACGTCAGCTGGGGGGAGGTTTGTTGCTGATCACAATGACCTTGAAAATCTCTCCTGATGCTAAGAATCTGTGGTCTATAAACAAACCTCTGAAGTTCTGTCAGCTCTGAGATTCTGATGCTGTTATTTCAAGAGGGCAAGGAAGTTTTAGAGGGTTGAATGGATTTCCTAGCTGTGGTGTTTTTATTTGTTGGAAATCATCAGGCATTTTCCTCCCTCTGTGTAGAGAGTAAATTTCCACGAGGACTGGAAGGTCATCACGGTGTTGATTGGAGGCAGTGACTTATGTGACTACTGCACGGATTCGGTAATGGGGGCGGGCCAGGCCTACTCATCGCCCTTGATTTGACCTGTAAGCCTTGGAGATCCTATCTGAGAACAGTCCCTAGAATCAACCCTAGGATTGTCCATCTACACCTGTGTGTGTGTGCACGCACAGACGCACATGCACACGCAATTCACACACGTGCACGCACACACTTCTTGCCCCCCGAACCCTCGCATTTCTGGCTCCCCCCTCCATGTCCCAGCTGGCATGAGGCAGCAAGTGACAGATATACAGTGCTCCTTTTCCCGTTTCTTACAACTCCTGAGAATTCAGAAAGAGAAGAAGCAGTAAAGCCCAAGCCCGTGAAAGGGGTACTAGACACATTCTGCTCCTGAGCTACAGCTCTGGCTGAAGGTTCCAGTCTTCTGTCTGGCCCATCTTTGGCAACAGCGAGTAGCCAGCTGTTCATCTCAGATTCTGACATGACGAGCTGGTCACAGTTGGATGCCGAGGGAGAACGAGGCCTTGGGGCTGGAGCTGGGTGGGGAGACTGCCCTCTCCCCCTAACCAGCTCCTCCTCTCCATCCTGTCTCTTCCCAGAATCTGTATTCTGCAGCCAACTTTTTTGACCATCTCCGAAATGCCCTGGACATCCTGCACAGAGAGGTGAGTGGCGGGCTCCCACAAGCTGGACACAACTCAAGCGTGTTGGGGGCAAGAGGGTGAAATGCCCCCTCCCCTGAAGGAGACAGACAAGGACGTGGGCTCCTGCCCTTTCCAGAGTTTGGGGCTTCCCCCCAAGGAAGCCTCATTCTATTTGGAATCAGCCCCGAGGGTCTCAGGCTTGAAGAAGGGAAGGCAGTCCCCCCACCTCTACCTGGGACACTCCCTGGTGGAGGCAGCTGGGCGGCTCCCAGGCTGGGCACTGCTCTCTGAGTGGCAGGCAGTGTCTACAGTAGGCCCCTCTCTGGTCTCCCCACCCCCTGGCATGGACAAGCCTTTCCAGCTGCCCAGGAGGGGGCGCTCTGACTACCAGATGCTTCTATGGGTTGCCAAGACTCTGGGCCTGCTCAGCAGAGTTAGCCCAGGTCGGGCTGGAAGGAGAGAGTCAAGGGCTAATGTCCTGGCAAACGGGGCACCTACCTCACCAAATGAAAGCTAACGGATTTGGGGCTTCCTTGGTGGCGCAGTGGTTAAGAATCCACCTGCCAGTGCGGGAGACACAGGTTCAAGCCCTGGTCTGGGAAGATCCCACATGCCGCGGAGCAGCTAAGCCCATGTACCACGACTACTGAGCCCACGTGCCGCAGCTACTGAAGCCCGCGCAAGTAGAGCCCATGCTCCACAACAAGAGAAGCCACCACAATGAGAAGCCTGTGCACTGCAACGAAGAGTAGCCTCCACTCGCCGCAACTAGAGAAAGCCCACACGCAGCAACGAAGACCCAACACAGCCAAAAATAAATAAATAAATTTTTAAAAAAGATTTAAAAAAATAATAACAAATTTAAAAAAAAGCTAACGGATTTGGGTTCACTAACTGATGGCTGAACGAGCTGAGCCCTCAGCATTTAGACTCGGGTCTGCCATGTTGTCCCACTCCAGGAGGCCCATTCACGCTGCTGCCAACGTGGGTGGCACAGCCTGCAGGGCCCTAGGTGGTCACCTTGTGTCGACACCTCCCAGAACCCAACTCAGGGACTCCGGAGCCAGATCCCACTTCTTGGGGCCCTAAGGCAGCTTGTGAAAGAAGCCCCTCAGCCCCTCTCTCATCTGAAGCCTCTCCCGTAGGTACCCCGGGCGCTGGTCAACCTCGTGGACTTCATGAGCCCCCGCGTCATGCGGCGCGTGTTCCTGGGGAACCCCGACAAGTGCCCGGTGCAGCAGGCCAGGTAGGCGGGTGCTTGCTGGTCTGGCTCACGCGGTGGGGACTCCTCGGGGTCTCTGTGACTTGGTCCGTCCATGTGTGCAAGTCTGTAATAGGGTCTGTGCCAGGACCACCTCCTTCTGGGAAGTTGGAGCCAGGGCCCCCGCTTACCAGCCTCAGGGTATCAGCGAGAACCTCTGTGATACGGGGAAGCCACGGGGAAGCCACGGGGAAGAGGTTAGGGCTGGGACAAACACTAGTTCTCAGAGACGGTGCAGCCCAGCCTGTGAGAAGGAGAAACATATAGGGACGTGTCCACAGGTGGTGGAAGCGTAATGGAAAGCAAGGGAATGGTCCCCAAGATTCCCTTACCTTTGTGGGGAAGAAGCGAATTGGGGAAGCACACAGGGAGCTTCCAGTTGGGAGTGTTTTGTTTCTTAAGCTCCGTGAGAGGTGCAAGGCGTGTGTTTTATTATTCTTCCTACATTATATATCCATATACTCATTTAACAAATACTTTTTAAAATTTTGCTGTGCACCAGGTACTATTCTGAGTGCTCTAGAGATATCTTTTTTAACATTAAGTGTATTTTATGGATGTGAAATAATCCATAACAAAACAAAAGGGGACACAGTGGGGCACTAGTGTGAACTCAGGAGGTGTCTGAGGCGTGAGCATCAGAGGCCCCGAAATGCCAGCTCCAGCGCCAGAGCAGACACTTGTACTTTATTTCTAAACACTGAACGTTGGCTTTTCATTGTCCAAATTCACGTGTTCAGCGTAATTTGCTGCAGGCCCAGGGCCTGTGGTCCAACACTTGTACTCTGTTAACGTGAGAGGCTGCCCACCCATACACCCTTGGGGCTTTGTCCATCCCCCTGTCAGGCCTGAAACCTGCCCTGAGCACACGCGGCAGAGCCTCCTAAGCCAGGGCTCCGGTGAGCGCCTCACCCCGCCCCACGCAGCAGAGTCAGTCTCTGACCTAAGCTTCTGCTCTGGGTCCCCCTGCCTCCCCCTCTCTGTGCAGCATTTTGTGTAACTGCGTTCTGACCCCGCGGGAGAGCTCCCAAGAGCTGGCCAGGTTGGAGGCCGTCACCCGAGCCTACCAGGTAAGACCAAGAAAGTCTCTCCTCCCCCTCGATGAACACGCCAGTCCAGAGCCCCCCGGGGGAGGTACACGGGGAAGAGAAGAGCTGTTCAGGCTTTGAGGGGTAACATCGCCCTCCAGGCCACTTCCTGGCTGAGGTGTCTCAGGCAGCCCAGTTGGAGTCATCCCAAAGGAACCCAGGTGGCAGAGTCCTCATGGCTGAGCTGTCGTTGGTGGCTCAGCCCTGACACTTGGCCTGAAGAGGGCGGCAGCCCTAGGTGCCCCATCGGACTACCTTTCCCTCCACTGCACCCTGGAGGCCCAGCTGTCCCCCCAACCTCCCACCTCCCCAACAGGCAGGCCACGCACGAATGGGGAGTTGCAGGTCCCGAGCCTGGGGGCCCTCTGGAGACTCTCCCTAGGTTTTTCTGTTCCTTGTGGGACTTCCTGCCCGGCCCTTCAGAACTTGCGGTCCACTTAAAACCAAAACCAAAAGGTGGCACAACCCGTATCCAATACTCTGGAAAGAGATTTACCATCAGGTGTGTCTGTGTTCTCAAGGGAAGAACTGAGTCAGCCCACCTGTTGAGGGAGACGGGGACAAGGACACTACCCACCCCCCAACACCCCTGCCCTAATGGGCACCTGGAGCCCCAGGGCGTGTGCAGAAGGCACCCATGTGTGTGTCCCCAGAGCAGCATGCGTGAGCTGGTGGAGTCAGGTCGCTACGACACGCGGGAGGACTTCTCCGTGGTGCTGCAGCCCTTCTTCTACAACATCCAGCTCCCCATCCTGGCGGTAGGCTCCCTGCCCTCCCTGACAGGGCTGCCAAAGGGAGGAGAAAATTCAAGGCAGAAATGCCAAGTGCTTCCGTGAGAGTGAAAATAAATGGGGCAGACCCGGGCAGCTCTCCAGCTGCTGGTCTGGTGGGTACAGCTTCCCCGAACATCAGAGCTGCATTCCCAGAGGGAGTCCCACGTGAGATGTTCTCATTACTACTCATCACAGCCTCCATTTTATTGAGCACCTACTATGTGCCAGGCACTGTGCGCACCACGCATCAAATCTTCACAACTGCCTTTTGAGGTGAGTTTTATCATCCCCACATGACAGAGGCTCAGAGACTTGAAGTATCTTCCCTAAAATCATACAGGAAATAAGGCACAGAGGTGAGATTTGAACACGTCCAATTCCAGACTATTTACTTTCTGCCCCACAGCCAACACTGCAGTTATAACGGAGGGTACCGTTTCCGCCCCTGGCTCTGCTCTCCACCTGACACTTCCACTCTGAGCAGAAGAGCTCTGTGAATGGACCAGGGTGGGGACTCAGTTCTCTCTACCTGGGCCTCCATCCCAAGGGCCTGGCCTATCTGGAGGGAAGCCGGAGGAAGCTTTGAGCACCTAGGCTTTGCCCAGGCCTGCCCCAAGGCTTGGCCTCTTCTCCCCACCAAGGTCACTGGGACCAGCTGGCCAAGGGCTGGGAAGTAGCTTTACCCAGCTGGCTGACCAAGACTTCCTCAGGGACTAGTATCTCATTCCCTCAACCATGGCATGGGTTACGTACATGTGCCTAAACATACATATAGCACTTTCTTAATTAAATAAGGGGAATTGTGGGACCAGAAAGCAGATTAGGAGTTTGGGGTCACTCAAGGCTATTGATCTGTGGGACTGCTCTGATCTCCCTCTCGAGGTGAGCAGGGCCTTAGGAAGCCACAGGCGGGGAGCACCCTCGGGGGAGGAGGGCATTGAGAGGTCAACCCCAGGGGTCAGGCCCACCAGCTGTGGCCCACTATCCACCCTCTGCGCCAACGGGATCTTAAGGACGTCTGTTTCTCTCCTTCAGGATGGGCGCCCGGATGTGTCCTTCTTCGCCCCAGACTGCCTCCATCCAAATCAGAAATTCCACTCCCAGCTCTCCAGAGCCCTTTGGGTCAATATGGTAAAATAAGTGGGATGCCCCTGGTTCTCTGGGGTTCTAGTCTAGAGCAAAGCCCCCTAGAATGGAGCTTGTTCCTGGCCTCCCTTTGCAAGCAAGATACAGAGGAGCAGTGGCCAGCGCATCTGTGGAAGTCTGTATAGAACTGAAAATACGGAGTCCTTATGATTCCGGGATCAACTGCCTCCCCTCTTCTGGGCTTTGAACTGCGGTGCGGGACTCTTTACATGAATGCAAGGCAGAACCCTCACGTTTATTCAGTATTTTCTATGTGTCAGCAGCTGTTCTAGGCAGTTTAAGCCATGTTATCTCATTTAAGCTTCTCAACAGCCCTGCAAGAAAAGTCTTAGGAGTTTCTGAGGAAGCTGAATCCTACAGAAGCTAAGAAACTGGCCCAGTATCCCACAGCTGGCAAGTGGCAGTGCCAGGAGTAGAAGCCAGGCCCCCTGAAAGCAAATCTGAGCTCTCCCCACTGCAGGAAGCCCTGCCAGGGAGTGTTCACTTCAGGGGAAACAAATTAGTACATGCACGTCTCTCTTTTCTTCCTCAATCAGCTTGAGCCACTAGGAAAGAAAACGGATACCCTGGACCTGATGGCAGCTATACCCCTCCCCTGCCCTGCTCAGGTAATGAGGGAGGGCCTGCTGTGCTGCTCTCCAGAAACCCAGAGCTCAGACCCCACCCATCCCCTTCACCCCGCACCACAGCTTCCCCTTTGCCCATCTTGCCCCCTGACTGGGAGAGGACGGACTTCGGAGGATGGAGGGAAGTGGAGGAGAACAGAGGGGGGTAGAAGAGGGTACAGAAGCACCTGTGTCTTTAGGAGAGGCAGGTGGGAGAGGAGGCCTGGCCCCAGTAGAGGGAGACGAGTAGGGTGACGGATGTGGATTCTTGAGAAGTGGCGTTAATAAGCCAGAAGGTGGGAAGACCACTCATTTCAGCAGCGGTACGTGGGGCAGTTGGGAAGGTCCGGCTGCAGGTTGGAGGCCTAGCAAGAAGCCAGCTGGGCTCAGAAGCTGTGGTTAGTGGTCGTCGAGCCTGGATCGGGAATGTCCGGCAGGGAGAGGGTCAGAGAGGAGAGCCCTGGAGCTGGGTGGGGGAGGGACAAGCAGGCCCGGCCTTGCCATGACTGGGGTGAGGCTGGCTGGGCTCCTTTTAAGGAGGAAGATCTAAGTGGTTGTTAAACCTGATTTCAGGCCCAGGAGTGGGGCAGGTACATGTGCCCATTGCCTTCAACCCCCTCTTCTAGCCCCTGTCTTATGGCTCTTTAACCAAATAAGGCTGAGGCCAGAGAGCCCTCAGAGGCAGTGAAAGCAGGAGAGCGTGACCCGGTCTGGGAGGCTGGGTTTCCCACCTGGGTTGGGCTGCTTCGCCCTCTCCCACCCTCCCAGCTGAGCAGGGAGAGGACCTGCAGCTCCCCCGTGTGTCTGCCAGGGCTCCAGAGACAGTGGGCAGCCCTGCCTGGCATACCCCTCCCTGTCTGCTGCCTTCCCCACCCCAGTCTCAGGCCCAGGCTAGCCTTTGTACCATCAGCTTCATCAGGAGGGTGGGAAGAAGGGATGCAGGAGTGAAGGCAGTGGTAGCAGAGGGCTCAGATGCCGGGTCCAGGGCTTGGAGCGAAGGAGATGGTCAAAAGATGTAATAATCAGTGCAATGTGGGCAAGGTCTTAGAGGGCCCTTCTGTGCCAGGTGTAAACCCTTTAATTGCTAGATCCATGCACAGCGGGTTCTAGGGGAGGGACCAGGCAACCTGGGTAGTGGGGGCATTCGGGGACTCAGAGCAGTGGCTGTAAGCCATACGGGGGTAAGTATTTCAATATTTTCAGAACCCACATGGCCATTCTGAACATCAGCCATGGAAAACCCTCTCTAATCTGCCAATTCCCCTTCCATTAAATAGTAAAAGTAATCACAACCCATTCCAGGGAGCCGTCATTTGCTCTCCTCCTCACAAATATCTGTTAAGTACCAGGTTGGAGCCTAGGCACTGGGGCAGGTAGAGCCCTGTCACCATGGGCTTCAAAGTCCCAGATCAGGCACGGAGCCCCAAAAGGCTGCTGCTTCACCCAGAATCTCAAGCCACATTGGGCTCCGCTTCTCCTCCTGGACAGAACCTGAATGAGCCATTGGTGAGCAGAGGAGAGCAAATCCAGCCTCCTGGAACGTAGAAGCCCAGCCTGGGAGAAGCGGTTGCCAGGCAACCCCAGAGCACATTCCAAAAGGATCCATCTGTTGGCCAGCCCAACCTCACCGCACCAGGCAACGTAGAATTCTGCATTCCTCAGGTCCCATCTGCTCCCTCCCATGTGCCTTGGAGCTATATAAAAGTCCACCAGCAACTCAGTGTGAGCTGACAGGGGCCAGGCAGCACATATTTTAATCCTAGCTGAGTCTAAACATAGAGGCCACAGGCAGGACCCAGCAGGGAGGAGGGGGCAGGGACGGATGCAAGCACTGGGGAGCTCTCCCAGCTTCCTGCCTGCTCCTCCCCCAGCCCCAATCAACTGCAAGTGCATTCTGCCCAGCCAGGTCGGGCACTTAACAGTATTCCATGGATTTCTGTTAGACTTTAAGGTTGCACACAGGATTTTATGGCCAACTTTTTTTTTTTTTTTTTTTTTCTTGCGGTACGTGGGCCTCTCACTGTCGTGGCCTCTCCCGTTGCGGAGCACAGGCTCCGGATGCACAGGCTCAGCGGCCATGACTCACGGGTCCAGCCGCTCCGCGGCATGTGGGATCCTCCCGGACCGGGGCACGAACCCGTGTTCCCTGCATCGGCAGGCGGACTCTCAACCACTGCGCCACCAGGGAAGCCCTGTGGCCAACTTTTGATCAGTTGCTCTGTGGACTGTGACTGTTGTCCCCTTCCTGCCTTCATGGCCTCTGCCCACTCCTTCCCTAACCCAGGGCTGCTGGCTGTGGCTCCTCCTCAAGCTTTGAAGAAATCGGCCGAAGGTGAGCGGAGTCCTTTTTCAGGTCTTTTTCTTGCCCTCTCTAGACGCGTTTGTCAGAGTTAGCCACCTCCTCCGTGAATTTATTCCTCCTTGCATTCGTGGATGTAAAGCCACCTTGATTGTTCTGTTTTTCTAGCGTCTGCCCCTTCTCATCTCTTTTAATAACCCTCCTTCCTTTCTCCCAGCATCGAAAATGTGGACATTCTCCAACTTCCATGTCTCAGCCCTATTCTCTTTTCTCTTTCTTTAGGTCCCCTCACTCTGAGATCTGTCCATTACCAAGGTTTCCCGTTAAATGTCTTTGCCTAGGATACCCCAGCCTGTGTCATCATTTCTTACTTTTTTTCCCCCAAACTTGAGCTCTATTTCTAACCCTTAAGAGATCTTTCCCCCTTGGTTGCCCTCTATGGTGTAAGCTTACCCAGAAGGCAGATTAAATATATGATCAGGGTACCCACAGAATGGGGGAACCAAGGGGAAACACGGAGAGACAAAGTGAAATAATTTCAAGTGCTATTTCATCCAGTCTTTCATCTTGAGAAAAAGCCGAGGTTTGTTGGATTCCCTTATACTTCCTTTATTGTTTAGCAGTGTTTCTCTTTTGAATTACGTATGGGCTCTATTGTCTTTTGAATGCTTTGGACTTCTCCCATTCCTGCCCAGACCTCCTCATCATCTCAAACTCATATTCATTCAAAAAATGATGTTTGAGTAACAACGTCCATAGGAACGAAATAGCTGTCTTCCCAAACTCTCTGATCCTTAGGACTTCCTATTTCTGTCCACGTTGTTGTGGCTGTCACAGTTCTGCAGGTGTGAAACGTCAGGCACGCTATCTGATAGGATCCTTCCTAGTGCTTTTCCCGCTGGCATCCTTTCCGTTCCCACTGCCACCACCCCAGTTCAGGTTCTCAACACTTTGTGTGTTAAAGGTCACCTGATGCTTCCCATCACAGAGCAACAGAGAATTTTATAACCTTAGGATGTCAGTGCAGAGGGCCTTGGAGTCCTGTTGAGGCAGTCTCTCACATACTAATTGAATTATTCTACCACATCCCTCCCAAGGCAACTAGAGGCTATGGCTTCTACTTAAACTTCCACACGCTCAAGGCAGTGCTTTTCTAACAGCCAAGTGGCTACCTGTTAATATGTTGTAAAATCAGCCTAGTAGGTCGCGTTTGGGATGGGATGATGGGATGGGATAGGATGGGAGGTTGGGATGAGGCGGGACAGAAATGTCAGAGGGTGTTCCATGTACCGCTGTTATGTCCTCCTCTCTTCTACCACTACCACCCTCCCCTGGGTCTTCTCCTCAGTTTCCTCAACTATTTATCGCAGACAAGTGTCCCAAACCCTGCCTCACGTAGTAGGTATGTCTCCTTGGAACGTGGCCCCCCCCTTAAGTTGGTGCCCGGCCCTGACAGTACACACCTGGTTTGGTCCGAGCAGCACAGAACAGAAGAAAACCAGCTCTCCTTCACGGAACTTTACACCTAGTAACACTGCCAAGATGAACAAGACCTTTTCCCGAAACCACTGACTCATGTTGCTGACTCACATCAGGTGGCTGTCGGGGCTGTGCCCACCGGCAGGCCACACCATCTTTGCACAGCTCTAACTAGGAGAACATTTCCTTGTGCTGGCCTTCAATGGGCTTAGCTTTCTACTTACTGGTGTTAGCAACCTCGCCTAGGAGAGCCAGCGGACTAAATGGGCTCCCTCTTCCCTCTGCTCAGCGCCAGGCCTTTAACCCAGTCTGATTCATGCAGACACAGTGCGGTCAACGGGCCCAGGGCACCCAGGCCGCCTGTCTGCCACTGTCCTGGACCTGTTCTCATTGTTCCCGTTCTGGCCTCACTCCCCACCGCATTCCAGTGTCTCCCTGACGCCTTAGTTCAGTCTCCCCTCTCTGGCCCCTCCCTCTACCGTTGGATCATGAGATGGAATAGGCTCTCCAGTTTGATTTTAAGCATGTCTGGAAGGGCAGGGAGCGTCTTTGCTCTCCGGTTCTTCCTGTGGTAACCACTCTGAGACTAGCTCCAGCCCCCAGGCCCTGTGCCCCATCGGGGCTCCCGTGAAGTGGGGAGAGAATGATAACGAGTGACCCCCCTCCCAGTGAGTCTCGTCTTTGAGGACCACACATTCCCAGATCTTGCAACTGTTCCTCGGCAATTACTGCACTTACCGGATGCGCTATCCTCTGATGCTTCGCTACGTGATGCTTCTCATGTTCTCTGCCTGACCGGGTTGTAAGCCTCTGTATCCTCCCCTCATTCTGGCACCTAGAACAGAGCTCTGAACACATGGGGCTCTACAAAGGTGGGGCATTTATTTATAGGATGCTCCCAGAGCGCCCTCGTCTGATGGTGAAGCTCAGGGGGCACAATAGCATTGGCCAGAGACAAGCCTCGTTAGCCGGGGCGACGCGCCATTGTAAGCTCTGTCTCCTTGCAGTGTTGCAGATGGTCCAGGGCACACTTCCTGCCCTTGGCCCCGAGTGCCCCCTCTGAATCATGTTGCAGGCTAGGAATGCCAAGACTCGGAGGTTAGGAGAGACGTGCACTGCCCAGGGAGCCAAGGTCTGTGCTGAGGGCTAGGGCTTTCATGTACCTAGATTTCATCCTCCAAGGTGACTGCTGAGACCTTCTCTTCCTCATCCCTCTGTCTGACCAGCAGGGTCTTTCTCGGACCTGACCCCCGTGATCAGGAGGAATTCCCCGTGAGGAATGGAAGGAGGCCACTGCTGGTCAGGAGGCTTGACGGGTCGGGCCCGGCTCTGCACTCACTTCCTGCTCTCCACCTGGAGCAGGTCCCTCCTCCACTCTGCCCCCCGTTTGCTCCTCATCTGTAAAGCGGGGGCATTCAGGGGTTGCAAACTCAGCTGCAGTGCCAGGCAGGAACACGACCGTGTGGATGGGATCATGTCTGGGACAAGAGGAGGTGGTAGGGCCAGAACTGAAGGGCACACGCCTCTTCGGGAAGCATTCAGAGTTGGTCTTCTCTCCTCTCCCTTCCTTTCCTCCTCTTCCTTTTTAAGCACCTTTCAGGCCAAAATAGAGCAGATGGGCAGTCAGCTCTCAACCCCTGGTTCGGATCTCCAATGACCTCTTCTCCAACATTCCGGTTCTTCCTACTTACTCCCATGTTATTCCCAAATTTTCAGACCATGGCCCTTCTACCCCACTCAGCGCGTCTTGTGAAGGTGTTGACAGCCCTGGGCTGTTTGGCCTGATCTCTGGCTTATGAACTTCTTATTGCTTCACTGTCATTTTCACATTTTCTCATTACCTGCTTTCCCCCTTTTCTCCTTTGTCTACTTCCTTCTTCGACCAACTTATCACCCACAACTGAATAGACCTGGATTCTTGACTGGGCGTGTGTGAAACTGATTGTAAAATAAATAGGCGAGCAGGGAAAGAAGAGGCTGTTTCACGAGAAAAAAACACAACCAGAGTATGTGAAGCCAACCCGAAGGGGGTAAGATACATAATTCAAAGGAGGCAAAATCATACTAATAGCAGCAGATATTAAAATACATTGATGATCATAACACTTTTTGGTGAAGAAAAAAGTGCTATAATGTGAATCTCTTGCCAGAGAAATGACAAAGGAAAGAAAAATCATTCTGAGGATTAGGGAGATGTTCAATTGTCAGGGTGAAAACAAAAGCGCAGAACCCTGAATAGAACATGTATGGAACCCTTTTTAGGCCTTTTATTGTGCATCCCTTGTCAAAGCTGTTATGTAAAATCCTCTAGGGAATGAATGAAATTATGTTTGTACGGTTCTTTCTATTTAAATGCAGAAGATCATGTTAAATAAATCTACAGGACAGGATTGTTAGTACTTAATGTTTCCTAAGCAATCTTCCAGGCTGTCAGATAACCTCTCCCTGTGGTTTCTTTTCTCTCCTAGAATGAACCCTTCCTGAGAACCCCCCGGAACAGTAACTACACATACCCCACCAAGCCGTCCATTGAGGTAACCCCCGACGCACGTCTGCCTCTCTCAGGGACAAACCATTTCCACCTCCCGGCGACTCGGGGCGTGGTGTGGGTTTCCGAGAGTTAGCTTAATCAGAAACGTACCCCGCTTACATACTGGAAATTGGAATGTGAAGAAAAGGCTCCTGAACCACAAAGTCCCAGGATTGTCCTAACATGTTCTCAAGTGTTTACCTGATGTCAGCAACCAACTAGAGGAAGTGCCTGTGGATCAGTTGTCTTTGACCTTTGCACAAACATCATTTCTGATCAGGCAGCTCAGCCTTTCAAGAAGAGATGAGGGGGAGGCGGTGGGTATGATGCACTGTCAATTTCCTGTCGTTGAGTGGGAAGAACCTCAATTCCGGGGGCTGGGCCCAACAGGAAGCTGACGCATATGCAGGTGGGTCTCCAGGGCTTGCTTGGTTCAAGTCAATCATTCTAGCTCTGAGGATTCAGGGCCCATGACTTTAGGGGCAGCTACTGCAAAGATGGCCTGAAGGATCCTGAACCACACCCGGCCTTGCAGGACCAGCCTGGTCCAGACCACATGTGTCGGCCACCAGATCAAGGGATCAACCACCAGTGTCGGATGAGCACCTATGGTTTGTCCAGTCTTGTGCGAGGGGCTGGAGGGCGTTCAGAGAAGTGTCCGCGTGGTCCTGCCCTCAGGAGTTAGAGGTCGTTCCAGACTGGACACCTACTGTGTGTCAGACGCTGATTCAGGAAGATAGAGCAGTGGACCAGACAGATGGGTCCCACCCCTCATGGAGCTTACAATCTACCGGAGGAGGCATCCAGTAGACAGCTAAGCACAATCATTTCGTAGAGTGAAGACAGCTCTGAGGAAGGTGATGCAGGAAAGTGAGATGGGGCAGGGAGGGTGGCATGTTCTGATGAGCCGTGCAGACCACGTCAGGCCTCTCTGAGGAGGAGAGATTTGAGCTGGGATGTGTATGATGAAAAGACGCCAGCTATCTGGAGAGCCAGAGCCAGAGTCCCAGGCAGGACCAGGGAGTGCAAAAGCTCAGAAGTGGGGCTGAGTCGGGTGTATTTGATGAGAGAAAGAAGTCAGTGTGGCTGTGGGCGTGTGAATGAGGTAGAGAGTAGGTCATGAGACCAGAGGGTTTATTGAGGGACCGATCCCACAGAATCTGAATCCCTAAGAAAGAAGGTTGGACTTCAGGTGGAGCACTGTGGGAAACTGTCGGAGGTTCTAGGAGAAGGTGATGTAATCTATTTCACCTTTTTAAAGACCCCCTGACTAGTGTGGAAAATGGATTCGGGAGCAGCAGGAGTGATTGAGGAAAGACGTTTTATAAGCCAGCTGAAGCACTGAGACGAACTCACCTGAAATTATTGAAGAACCGTTAGGTGCTAAGCGCTGGGATGCAAGCCATGTGGTAGTGCCACCATCCAGCCTCTCTGAATTCTCTTAGGCTCATGTTAGCCCAACAGAGGCGTGTCCCAGGCCAACCACGAACAAAATCCATTAGAATTGAAATGTCAGCTACATCTTGTCAGTTGGGCATTGATTGGTTTATCTAACATGCGTATATTTATTGGATGCCTAAATGGCGCAGGCACTGTGCAAAGTGCTGGGTATACACTGGTGAAAACAGTGGTTCTGGTTCTGTCCTCTTGGATCTTAGTCTCATGTGTCTTTGCTTCTGTTGCCGGAAGAGTTAAAAACCCAGGCCTAGAAAGTGGTGGGATTTGTTTCTTTTTTTAAAATACCTTGCTATTTAAATTAGCCACAGACAGGCAACAGCAACATTACTTGAGAACTTGTTAGAAATGCAGAGTCTTAGGCAGCACACCAGTCCTGCTGTCTCAGGATCTGCATTTAACAAGACCCACCGGGGATCCGGGTGCCCTGGCATAGGGTGCCAAGTACAGTTCTTCCCTTGGAACAGACGAGAGTGCTCCATTTCCAACCTGGGTCTGTTCATCTGCATGGGATGGGCTTGTCTCTGGCTCACCAGTTCTCTGAGATGTTCCTAAAGTGCTCACGGCTATAGAATTTTTTTTAATTGCATCTTCCCCAGATATTTGTCATCTGCGCACAAACGTGTTCTTGATTTCAGTAGAACTCCCACACAGAAGGACTCCATCCGTGTGATGAATTGAGCAGTTCCCTGGAATAAACTAAATTACATCAGATTAAGCAACTAATATTTAAAGGAAGTTTCATTTTTGCTCCCTTGTGAGAGGAGTGTTTTAACAAGGCATGTCTGCCTCGTCATCTGACCAAATGAAAGAGACAAGCTTCCAAAGCCTTTGGCAACCACAGGCCTAGAGAATCAGTCAACCGGACAACAGCTGTGTGTGGAGCCCTACTGTGCACTCAGCCCTACTGGGCTTGTCCCTCAGGCCGCTCTGGGCATATGCAAGCGTCTGCACTAGGGAAGGAACTCTATCTTTCCCCCAACTTCTGCGCCCTCTGCTTCCCTCCCCATCCCCTCCTCCAGCACCTGGCAAGTGTGCCCTATATTCCAGAGACAAGAGAATTGGACTGAAGGTGCCCAGGTTATAGATGTTAATTTATATACATACAAGGAATTCTTTGGCTATTAAGTTAAATACACCAGAGGAAATGATGATATGCAGAAACCAGAAACTTGGCAGTTGTAAAAATTTCACATTACTGTCCTAAATATATTGTAATTATTGTTTTGGTCCTAGCGTTGTAATTAGTGTACATTAGTTTCATGTTAAACGACACCACCAAAACCCACATGGAACCTCTTATGAGGCATCCAGGTCTGTGTTCCTTTGGGAGACCACCTGTTGCACACCTTCACTGTTTTCTCCCCTACTTCGGATGACTGTGGGCTCCATTTAAGGGTGTAGATAAGTTGAGGTGGGAAAGACTGTGGGTGTGCATGAGTGTGTCCACACATCATGTGTTTTGTGCATGGCGGGTGGGGAGAGACCTATTTTCTCCTCTCTGATTCCCCTCTCGCTCCATCCACAACTCACAGCTCTAGCCTCACATGATCCCCTACAGTAACATAATTCCAGCCCCCACCAAGAATTCCTTAGCTAGTTCTTCCTGGGCTGAAGCTAACCTTCCTGCACAGTGAGTGTCGGGTGTTGTGTCTTTCCTCCTGTTGATTTAGAACTGGGGCAGTGACTTCCTGTGTGAGGAGTGGAATCCTTCCAACAGTGTCCCCACATCAGGTTAGTATAAACATCATCACCCCCTTCAGTCAAGGGCCCCCTTCAGTCAACCTACACACACACCTTGGAGCCTTGAGCAGGTCTTGCTGATTCCCGTGCAGTGCAGACCTTGATCCCGGGTAGCCCATGACGAGCTAGGCTGCAGCACTGCTGGGCTCCCGGGCTCTCCACAAACCACACTTCTCCCCTTGGCTTAGTCCCGATGGCAGCCTTTCAGACCTCCCTGCCCAGTGAGGTAGGTATAGTCAGGGATTGGGGTCCTCTCTACCTGTGCTCATGACCCCCCCGCCCCCGACCCAGCTGGAGCTTTCCTGGACCGCTCCGGTGTGAACTGGGCTCCTCTCAGGATGGATGAGAGCCATCAAGCCCATCACCTTCAGTGCCTTAGTTGCTCTGAATAGATGGAAAATACAAATTTTCTAAAGCCTAAGGCTGGAAATAAGTTTAATGGGAACCTGTGGGATAAGAACAGAATCTCAGACTCCTAGCCAAGTTAATAGTTTCAAAGGAAGACCTCCACTGACCATCCATCTTTTTTCCTGTCTCTCTAGTCCATGAGCTCCGGCCAGCGGATATCAAAGTGGTAGCTGCCCTGGGTGACTCGCTGACTGTGAGTACTGAGCTGGGCCAGGCCCTGTGCGGAATCACCTCTTCCTCCACATCAGCTCTGTGTTCAGCATTTAGCCGAGAACGTACCTGTGTCCGGCAATGAAACATAGCCAGGCAGCCGCAAAACACCAGCAGGCGATTGAGAATGCCCTCCCCTCCTCCCTTCCACAGCCTGGCTCAATACCACCTCCTCCACGGGGCCTCCCCTCCATCCCCTGATAGAAGCCGTCCATCCCCCTCCCCACTGTTCCCAAGCATTTCATCTGTGTGTGTTAAGGCAGCGGTCCCCAACCTTTCTGGCACCAGGGACAGGTTTCGTGGAAGAAGTTTTTCCATGGACAGGGGAGGGGGGCAGGGGATGGGTTCAGGTGGTAAAGTGAGCGATGAGTAGCGGTGGGGAATCACAGGTGAAGCTCCGCTCGCTTACCCGCCACTCACCTCCGGCAGTGCGGCCCAGCTCCTAACAGGCTTCGGACCAGTACTGGTCCGAGGCCCGGGGGTTGGGGACCCCTGTGTTAAGGTACTTATCCAAGTCTGCCTGCCTTTACCAGGGAACTCATCTCCTTCACCCAGACTCCTAGGATGGTGGGTCTTACCCACACACTGCCCAGCACCCGCTCACCCCATTTAAAGATGTGTTTGTGGGGGCAGAGGGGGCCCAATACCTGCACATAGCACAGTTTCACTAAAGGAATTGTATGGGCCAACTATTTAGCTATTGTCTGTGTGTGAGACACTCTGCTAGCAATTCAGAGGGAAAATAAGTATGAGATGTAGTCTTAACCCTCTAGAAACTTGTCCAGCTGGGGAAATAAAAAACACTTACACAGAAGGAGGTACGTAATCATATCGGGGACAAACCGGACTTGTGAAATCAGGTATTCATTTCAGTAAAGAACAACTTCTCCAGATGGGTTTGAGTGTGTTTTAATTTTGGTATGAACGTGGGGAAAGCTGTGGAAGGAAGGATACACACCAGGCTCTTAACCATTAATTGATCCTGGTAGTGTGTATGTGAGGGTAAGGGGTGAGGAGGGAGGGGGTGTAGACCCTGGAGCAGGGGGCAGGTTATTAAAGTAGGGGTAAATTAGTAATGAAAACATCTTTGTATCATTTCACTGGTTATAGTGAATGCATACTAATTTTGTAATTTTCAAAGAGGAATACTCTCTTTTTTTAAGATAGGGCCTTTAGAAAGCAACTATACTCCAATAGACATTAATTTAAAAAATAGGGCCTTTAAAAAAAGCGTTATGGAGGAGGCAGAAATTGACAAAGGTGTTAGAGAATGAACTGGAGACATAATGGCTGGAAAGGAGGAGTTTCAGCATTCCCAGAAAGGATGGAGTGGCTGTTAGTAGGCCGGTCCAAGGCCCTCATGCTTCAGATCAACTTGTTTAGACCTGAAGGTTTGTGTGGACAGGAAAGGAGGCGGTGAACAAGGAAAGGAAAGTGGAAACCAGGTCATGGTGAGCGCTGGATGTTGGTGAAGGGGTTTGGCTCTGACCCTGTGAGTAAGAGACACCCACTGGAAGGTCAGAGTCAGAGGGAGGCGTGAAGGAACAGGTGTGCTTGGCAGAGCAGGTGGGCAGCCCCGTGAGATGGGAAGAGACACTGGAGACCGTGGGGTCAGGTGGAGGCCAGAGCTGTCCGTGGTGAGGAGATGAGAGTCTCACCTGGAAAGATGGCAAAGGGAACACGAAGAAAGGGATGGAAGCCAGAGAGGTTGGGGAGGAAGAATCTTGCTTCTTCCACAACTTGGTTACTGGTTGCGTGTGGAAGATTGGGAAGTCAGGACGACTCCGAGATTAAGTGGCCTGGGGAAAAGCTGGTACCATTTTCAGAAAAGGTAAATCCAGGTCCCAGCTGCTACACCAGGGCAAGAGGGCCCCTCCCCAGTGCCCCCAGCCTGCACCCGACCCAGCCCAGCTCTAGAGCCTTCTCTTTGCCTTTCAGACAGCGGTGGGAGCCCGACCCAGCAACTCCAGTGACCTCTCCACAGCCTGGAGGGGACTCTCCTGGAGGTGAGGGTGCTCTCCACTCATCTCTGTTGATGACGCTCCCCACAGAAGCATGGGTGGTGTGTTTCCCTGTCACCCCTCCAGAGATGAGGCCGGGTACTCGAGGCCCGGTGCTGGGATGCAAGGCGATGCCCCGATGCTTCCGTTGTTCCTAAGGGAGATGGGAATCCTGCCCCAGGGCAGACTGTCTGGTTCTGACTCAGAAATATGATGACCTGTGATTTTAACAAATGTGCTTTCTCTTCCCCAGCATTGGAGGGGACGGCGACTTGGGGACCCACACCACACTGCCCAGTAAGTAGCAACACGGAGAGGCACCATCACTGTGGCCGTAGCAACCCCTCCCTGAGGCCAGGGCCCTTCCACTGAGTGAGGGAAGAGAAGGTTGTCTGTAAGGAGAGAAGTCAGCCTGCCCTGAAGAGACCCAGAAGCGTCCTGCCCACACCTGTGCCCCAACACTGTACGTCCATCTCCCTCTCACCTGTGCTCTCTGCTCCTTCCCTCTTCAAAGACATTCTGAAGAAGTTCAACCCCAAAATCTTTGGCTTCTCCGCCGGCACCCGGGAGGAGACGGCCGGGCTGAATGCAGCAGTGGGAGGGGCCAGAGCTCGGTGAGTAGACGTGGGTACTGGAGGGACAGAGGAGGGCAAGGCCGAGAGATCGGGGACGAGAGAAGGGTGGTGTCTGGGACCCGGGCCCACAGACGGGCCGTAAGAGCCGTGGTGCACGGAGCACTTCTGCTGCCCGGCCCTGAGCTGCCCCCTCACGTGGATCATCTCCTGTAATCCTTACACCCTTCAAGATGGGTACTAGCGTGAGGACACAGAGGCGTAGACCGTTTCCTGAACGGCCCAAGGTTATCAGAGCGAGGGACCAGAGGAGCCAGGATCAGACCAGGCTGAATCAGAGCCTTCGCTCTGCCCACTGAGCTGTTAGCACCTCTCAGGGCAGCGGGGAGAAGCCCTTGAGGGTGGCCGGACAGGAAGCATGCGGCCAGGGCGCAGGGTGCCCTCCTGCTGACTCCAGCTGGTCTCCCAGCCCCGAGGAGGCTGGGGTCGAATGTGCAGGTGACAACTCTCAGCACCTTGGGGACACAGAGCAGGACCTCACGGCTGGCCGCCCTTCCCTCCTCCCTTCTCTCGCCTCTGAACCTCCAGCCCTTGACTCCGAAAAAGCCGTATGTTGGCACTCGGGAGTTAGATGGTATTGACACTAGGGAGTTAGATGGTAGAGCCTCGAAACAACATGGCGGTTGTCTGTTTGCACTTGGATTTCTGTGGTTGACAACAACCCAGATAATTAAAGTTGAAATGCCTGATGGAGTTCATTGATTTTCTGCACAGAGCGTCCTGGGTCTTTGCTTTGTAGAAGGGTTGCTGCACTCAGATCACCAGGGAAACAGAACCCGCTTGACTCACCCTGTTTACAGGGAAAGTTCCTTTCAGACGCGGTAAGGAGGGCCCCACGCTCGCTTTGAGCCTCTGAGCCACAGGAAGCGATGTCAGGTCCTCAACATCATAAGCAGGAAGAATTATTTTCTGCAAAAAATTGGGCTTCATGGGGCCATCATATCAACCTCTAGTTGCTGGTATTACCATTATTATTTTTTTTAGAGCCCAGGCTTTATTAACCAGGAATTGATTCCTTAGTCTGTTGACATTCAAGCCCCTTTCCCCGTTCCTGCTTCACTTCTCTTAAACTGCTTTTTCTATTTCACTGCTGCTTGGTGTCTCCATCAGGCAGCAAGAGTACCTGGGGAGGAGTGGCCGGGGAAGTAGCCGAGACATGCAGCTTCTTTAAAGCCTGACTTCCCCTAGTGCCCTTGAGGGCTTGTCACCCGTGGATTCCCCTGTTCATAGCTTGAACCTATTAAAAGGTTACAGGGATTTCTGTGGTCACCTTTAACCAGGACAGGCTTTCTTTATAGCTTTCTGACACACGCATCAATAGCAGTAGCATGTGAGATACGGTCCTGAATGTATTAATGAGAAACATGGCAGGGATGGTACCACGTATGCTTGGCCACATGCCCAGCTCACTGTGGACATGCAAAGATTTAAAATGCCCATTCTGTACCAGTTACTGCTTTTATGATTTCTTCCATGGAAGCCTCCATTGGCTGTATCCCTTCTCACATACATATCTTTTTTTAAATAACAGTTTATTGAGGTGTAATTGACGAATACACTGTACGTATTAAAAGTGTACAATTTGATCAGTTTGTAATATGCATATACCTGTGAAACCGTTACCACAATCAAGATGATAAATATATCCATCACCTCCAAAAGTTTCCCTGTATTTCTTTGTAATCAATCTCTCCCTCCCGCCCCTTCCTGTCTCTACCCCACTCCCTGGGCCCCAGGTAACCACTGACCTGCTTTCTTGTCCCTATAGATTAGTTTTAATTTTCTAGAACTTTACAGAAACAGAACCATAGACTATGTACTCTTTTCTTGTCTACCTTCTTCCACCCAGCAAAATTATTTTGAGATACATCCCCATTGTTTTGTGTATCACTAGTTCATTCCCCTTTATTGCTGGGTAAGCTTCCATTGACATACCTGTCTCTCATCCAGAAGCATTCAATTCCTCGTTCATGGCAGGTATCCAGGAGGTGAAGGAAGAACTAGTCCTGTCCGTATTTGTCTCCCCCGTCCTGTTTTGTTGCAAGTGGGAGAAGTGAGGAGATGGGGAATGGTGTGGAAATCCAAAGGAACTACAAGGAGAATAACAAAAGGATTAAAGGAATGAAGAGTGGGACTTAGAGGTAAAGGTTAAAGGAGCCGTGAAGCCTGGAAAGGAAAAAGCTGAGGGATCATTTGGGACGATGAATTTTTTCAAATATACAAAAGGTTATTTTTAAAACAGGCAGCCAAATAAGAACTGAACAGGCTCAATTCAGTTTCATCCTGTAGCGAAAGAGCTGGATGAAGTATAAGGGAATGTCCCTGATGGGAAGGTCGAGCAAATCCCCCTGAAGTGGCTTCAGAGGAGCAGGCCTGCAGAAGGGGGTGGGGAGATGCAGATTAGCCCTTGGCAGGGTCAGGATCAATTATGGCTTCAAGGTCCAGGGCAGATCTTTGATTTTTCTAAACAGGTTGAGATTTCTTGAGAATGGAAAGCCTTGCAATGCATTCTGAAAGAGTGAACTTTATATAACATTTTTCTTCCTGAAACATCTCCTTGCCAGGCCCAAATCCTACAGCTTGAGCCCTCCCTCGTGAGCCAGCCCTAATGTCCCCTTCTCTTCCCCCCTCCAGTGACATGCCAGCCCAGGCCCGGGACCTCATGGAGCGAATGAAGAACAGCCCTGTGAGTACAGGACCCCGGGCCGCCCCTGGAAGGTGCTCTGCCCGTAGCTGGGGTGGGTGCAAGCCGCCCTAAAAGAGCCCCCTCTGTATCACTGCAGCTCAGGCTCTTGGCTGGTCCTTAAGAGGGGCCAAACGAGCCACGAGGAGCAGGCCTTGCCACCCAGACGCCGCCCGTCTCTGCCGCCCCCTCCCCCCAGGGCCGGCTGCAGGAGGTGAGAGGGGCAGAGGGTGGCCGGAGGTGGCAGGCCTCGGCCTCTGGCGGCTTTCCACTTTACCCAGGAGCTGGCTTCCAGAGCCCTATTATGTAAACTTTGGCTTCTAAAATTAGGCAGCTCATTCCAACCCTTCCTCCTTCCCGCTAACCCGGCCCCTCTAAACCTCCCCACCAGCACTTTTTTAAACACTCTGTGTTTATGCCTTGGAACTCACCGTCCGGGAGGACTCCTATTATGGCGGCGCTGAGTGGAAAGCAGGCTCCTCCGGGGGCCGCCCCGTCCCCCTCCCAACTCTCAGTCCACGAGGGGCTCCTCCTCCACCCCCCTCCCTGGACCCAGGCCTGAAGAGAGGCCAGCTCTGGGCTTTTGCTTCTAGATGTGTCTTGTGCCCTCGGCTCCTCTGAAGGCCTTTCGATCCCATTTTAGGGGTGGGTTAATACACACCACCTCCTCCTGGACCGCAACTTTCTTAGGAGGATCTCAAAGGGAAAAAGGTCCTCTGTACTGAGGGAGCACACACACACACACACCACACACACACACACCACACACACACACA